CAGTATTCAGAATCCAGGATTCACCCCCGTCTCTTCTAAATCCAGCGAGATGGCTTCAAAGATACTCCAGCAGCTGGATGTGTTGGTTTCATCAAGGGAAAAATCACCAGCTAAGTTGTCTCCATCCATGCTACGCGGACAAGCTCTTAGAAGCTTAGAAAAAATAGATTCTTCAAAGTTTTTGGAGACTGTTCAGAATAATACTCAAGACAATGCAAGGAACAGTAGCGTGTTAGATGCTGAACGGTTTAGGCCTGAAAAGGAGGACAGGATTGAACAAAATGGTCAAAGCAAAGTAGACATTGATGGTGGAAAGGCAGTTGCTAGCACAACTGTAGAGAAACCCAACCCATTTGATGCTGGAGTGGTCAATACAGGAATAAAATTTTCTGGTCAAGCTCCTAAGCTAAAAAAGCCGGGTTTCCGTATGAGTGCGAATGAGGTTCGTTTTTGGCCCTTGAACTCCAGTTGTTGCTACTACTGCAGATCTTTGTACTGTCTATTGCACTTATGTCAATATTCTTCTATGTTTTGTCCTTGCTAATCTTTGCAAGATGAATGAGAAAATCGTTGATGGTACTCAGAAATGGTGTGTAGGTCGGTTCCGTTCTTGTTTGCGTCTGCATATGAACTGAATAGTTAGAGGTACATCGTAGTGAACATCCTAACAATTTAGTGAACAGTCTAACAGTACTCGTGCTTCATGGTTTTGTTGCAGGATTTCCTGGAGTTTGATGATGACGATGACAGTGTGGGGAATACTTCTACGGGCTGCGGGAAGGGTCATATGAAGCTCAGTTCTACTTCTGATGGGAGTAAAGCTGATGAAGCTGCAGTGGTGGATAAGACTCCAGTTCTTTCTGGAGCAAATCCCTTGTCAAGTTCTATACTGAGCAAGAAAGACACTGCAACTCAAAATGGGTCAACAAGTGTAGGAAGTAGCAGTACTTTTGCTTTTGCCACACCTTTATCCACTGAGGTTGTGAAGCATGCCATCCCAAGTAAAGCAGCTGCTGTTTCTGATAATGCTGCCATTGTCATATTTAGCTCAGGAGGGAAAACTGCCTCGCGAACTGAAGTGAATGATACCAGCGAGAAATTCCCACTTTTTTCTTCTGTGCCTTCTTTGACAGTTGCAAACAATGGATTCAGCACGAAATTTGGTGCCTCTTCAGGCTCCCAATTGGAGAGCTCACAGAGGTAATTCATCTGCTTACTGTTAGTTTTGTGGTGAAGGCAGTATGGCATGGCATTTGAAATTGAGTTATCTGCAGTTTGTTTGATTGGAGTAGCATGATACTTTGTTTAGGTTTGTGTGATCATTAGGTCATTGAATTCACGGTACTTTTAGGTTTATGACAACTTTTCATCATTGATTTTGATCTACGAGGACGTAGCTATTCATTTGTGTGAAAATTGTTAAGGCAAAATATAAGTTCTCGATTGGATTAATAAAGGACTAAAGGTGCATTCTGCAATGTTGATTCGTCTGCGTCTTCTGGAAGTTGTTGTAGAACCTGGTTTGCATGGATGTTTCAGTACTGGCATTCGATGGGGTTTATGACGATTGGTATGCCGATAAAATGAGTTTATTACCTTTTTGGCGGTATCTGAACCTTATATTGGAATTTGCTCTACTCGTCTCATGTGAGAATAGCTCCTGACTTGCATGATTTTTTATTTGTCTACTATGCGTGCTCTCATTTATTAGGCCTCTCTTCTCTACCTTGTATGGACCGATTCTGTGGAGAGTGAATGAATGATTACTTTCATGGCTCACATTTCTATTGAAGGCATACAATGTGTGATTGATGTATAATCAATTCAAAGTCTAACTCTTTGAGTATGTGTTTCAGATGTTCAATTTTCATTTTTCATCAGCAGTTACATCCTAACTTTCAAATTTTGCAGGGTCTTACCTGTAGCTGCTGTAGCAGATCCTTCGGCAAAACAACCTGATGGCAATAAATACGCAGACACAAATAAACCTGTTGTGTCTTTCAAGACGAGTGAAACTCAACCTTCATCTGTCTTGGCTTCGTCATCAGCAGCAGGGATGTTCTCGTTTGGGTCAGGGCTACAAAATGGAACAGTCCCAGGTTCGTCAACTGGTCAAACTCTTTCCGATAGCTCCCTCTCGATCGTTCCTGATGGCAGCACCAGCACAGACATATCTGTCAATGCTGTGAACTCTGGTAGTAGTGGCAATTCAGCGTCAGAGGCAGCCCCAATCTTGGGTTCATCTATTTTCAAATTTGGGTCACACCCCACTTCAAGTTCAGTTTCTTTTGCCAATGCTAGTGGTGACATCAATCGAAGCAAAACAGAGACTAGCTTTGGGAGTCTTGCTGGTGATCCTTTTGCTGATTCTAAGCCTGCTGTTGCAAGTACTCGAAGTGGCCTTTTTGGCATTGCCCCTTCCATAGCTGCCGAGAGCACTACAAGCAGCAGCCCTTCTAATGATATTTCAGCTACCTCTGATAAAAGTACCTTAGTTAGTAGTCCATTTGGAAGTACAAATGCAAGTACCGGAAGCAACCTTGTTGGTGCTACTGCTGCTTCTGTTACAGTTACCAGCAACAGCCCTCTTGGTGGCTCTACTCCTACAGCTACAAACCCAGGAAGCAGCATTTTCGGTACTGCTGCCAGTTCTAGCACTGGAAAGAGCCTCTTCAGTGCAGCAGCTCCCAGTACACCCACCGGAAATAGCCTTTTCAGTTTCAGTGCTAACTCAACTTCGCTAGGCCTTGCTAGTCAGACCCAAGGTCTGAATAATACAGCCAGCACTAAGGTAGCTGCAACTGGCTTTGCCACATCTACCCAATGTACACCTAGTCAGTTCGGTTCTTCCGTGTCTTCTCCTTTTGGGTTGAGTGCAAATACAGCTCCTGCTACTGCTGATGGTAGTTCAGGTTTTGGTTCGTCATCGATACCTAATCCGTTCAGTACTGGAACTTCTTCTGGAGTGCCTTCTTCCACCCCGTCTTCAGAATCAAATAAGTCTGTTAGCACAAATGCAAGCACATCATCTCCGCTTTTTGGTTCGAGCTGGTCAACAACTCCTGTATTTGGTAGTGTGTCCAGTTCACCAGCTTCATCGAGCGGGTTTGTATTTGGAGTGTCATCTTCGAGTGGCGCTTCTACTGCAGGTGCCACTGCATTTGGATCGTCGGCTAATGCTACATCATCTAGTTCCCCATTCTCTTTCAGTGCGCCAGCAGCAAATCCTCCCCCTTCACAACCTGTGTTTGGTAATCCTACTACAACTCCATCCTTTGCATTTGGCTCAACTCCATCATTTGGCTCAACTCAACCATCCGTTAGCAATGATCAAATGGGAATGGAGGACAGCATGGCGGAAGATACGGTCCAGGCAACCACACCATCTATCCCCTTGTTTGGTCAGCAGACTGCGATACCCCCATCGTCAGGCTTCATATTTGGTTCCGCAGCGTCGCCAACCACTGGAAATCCTCTTTTTGGTTCTACTGCTCCTCTGTCTGCAGGAACCCCCCAGTTTGGTTCTACTGCTGTAGGTACCCCCCAGTTTGTGTCTACTGCGGCAGTAAACGCCCAGTTTGGTCCTACTGCTGCAGTAACCCCTCAGTTTGGTTCTGCAGCCGCATCTCCTTCGATCCCGTTTCAATTTGGTGGGCAACCAACTCCACAAGCTGCTCCATTTCAGGCCAGTAGCAGTCTAGAGTATGCAGGCAGCTTCTCATTAGGGACTGGTGACAAGAGCAACCGGAGAATTGTCAAAGTGAGGAAAAGTTCGCGGAAGAAATGATTGATCTCTGATCAGTTTCATTGACAGGCAGGCTCTGGGGGTTGCTCAGTTTCATGGCCTGCAATTACGACAGAGCTCCCCAAAATTGTTCTGGCATTGGTGTAATAGTAAAGTAATTATGGTGCCTGGAAGTATAGCTGTGAGTGAAGAGTTGCTTCCCTCAAGGAAAGAAGATGGCCGATTCCAGTCGAGTTTCAAATGCAGTCGACCCTCTTGAGTGACCTGCGTCGTGTTGCTTGTAACTGTGTGAAAGCAGAAGTTCGAAAAGGAGCGAGGGTGAAAGAGATGGATGAGTTTGTGACAAATTTTGTGACAATACTTAATAGTTGTCTGTGGTGTAAGCTTTAGGTGAAGTTAGGTAATTTTGGTGCATACCAGGCTCAGCTGGGTCCTGTCATTAAGTGTACTTTCTTCGAGATGTAACGTAAGACGATTTGTTCCATAAAAGAAGCGCCTGTTGTTGCCGGTTTGCCTGCTGGAAGTTCAGTTGTCAGTGATCCTTCTAAACTGTGCCAAGTGAATTCTTCGGTCTGTTGGAACGAATTCAGGTTAAAGTTGAAAAATAAGTGATTAGATTTCAGGTTTTAGTGGGTAAAGGTTTTAGATTCTGAGAGATCACATCTTAATATCTTACTGTTTCTGAGTTTGGTGTAGGGTTTATGGTTGGGATTAGAGTGTAGAGGACTCGGGGTTTAAGGTTTAACTGTATGCTTTAGAGCTTTGTTGGATATTGTTGACTTCAGACCGGCCTAGCTACCCTTCAATTAGGGTTAATTGTAAAACTAGGTGTTGACAACGATCTGGTCCACATCGGATCCAATAGTATTGAATAGATATTTTGGATAGAATGTATTTGGATGCATTTTTGAATTTTGATCTTATGAATTATCTAGGTACGAAAAGAAAATAGATCGAAATTAAATTTGGATCAAACCAAATTAAACTAAATAAATCAAACATACTTTTAATCTTGCCCTATCTCAAATCTTTCTGGTTATGAGCTGAACCGATCGATGCCTATCCCTAATCACCCCATAATTTTATAAATGTAAAAAAATTGAAAAAACTAGAAGTGATTGATCCAATCAAACCTTGTGGTTGACTGACCGACCGGTTTAAAAGAAGGGGGGGAAAAACTTAACCGATTAATATTTGTTGCAGTGGTCGACTTGTAATTTACCCAATTCGGGAACAAGAGAACAAGAGAGGAGAAATGTCTGGAATATGGAGGAGGCTGTCGAGAGGCTGTAGAGCTGCGCAGCCATGGCGCACAATCACCTCCCGCTCGTCCTCTTCCTCAGCCAATATCTCGGCTGCCGTCGACTCCATGTTGCTCCGCTCCATCAAGGAGCACTACCTCGACGTCTCCAAGATGAACCCTCCGCCGGTAAAACCTAATCTTAGCGTCATTTATTTCCCATTTTCTTCAGTAACATCTCAACGAACGAACGGACGAGGGTTTTGATTTCCTATAACTTGAGTTGGTTTTTGTTGTCGTCGTCTCAGAAAGTGAGCCCTCCTTCGGGCTTCACAGTGCTGAAAGGGGCGCTGGATGGAAGTAACGGCCCAGTCCTCAGTCGGAGTTACGGCAACGAAGAAATCAATATATCTGTAATGAGGTTGTCCAACATAGTCCCTGGAGGCGGCGGCGATGGAGGCGGGGCGGACGAAGAAGAGGATGATATCAACCAATTGTTTCTTCATGTGGATGTCTCCAAACCTGACCAGCATAAGTCGCTAAATTTCCTCTGCGGACTGTATCCAGATGCTCTGGGTATTCACTCTGTTTCACTGAGGCCCAAGCTTGAAGATTCTGGCTTTTTTGAGCTTCCATCCAGTTACAATGGCCCTGTTTTTGGGTGAGTTCTCCTCTCTGTATCTATGTGGTTTGCATCTTATGCTTGAGCTGGTTTGATTGGTATAGAGGAGGAACTTGTTGCGAGTAGGAACGAACACCCGGGGATGGGAATGTGGTTGACAACCATAAGAGTGTTGGCTTGTTTGTTCTGCAGCTTCCTCCAGAATGCTAAATTGGTTGGTCTTATTAGTGTGTGAGGTGAGGTTTATGTGGAAATGCATGGGGTTCTATGCACTGGAAGCATCTCGAAGCAAGTTTTCTGGGTTCGTAAATAACTTTGAGCATTATATTTAGATCGGCGTTGTTTCTGGAGCCTGACCATGGTAATAGAGTTAGATCATCATCATTCATGTGGTCTGGTGCTGGATCTGTTGAGGCTTTTCATTTTTATTGTGGTCTGTTGTGGTGATCCTAAACCAACATCTAATGATTGTTGGCGACTGCAGATTTGCTTCTAGTACAAGTTCTCCAACTTTCTTTATCATCATCACGGAGGTGGGGTTCTCGATCCTTGTCGAATTAATTATCTTGTTCAACTGTTTGCAGGGACCTGGATGAGAGGATGAGAGATGCATTCCATGCCTACATTGACGAGCGAGGGGTGAACGAAGATCTATTTGCTTTTCTTCAAGCCTGGTTGTATGTGAAGGATCACAGGAATCTGCTGCGCTGGTTCAAAACAGTGGGTTCACACATTAATGAAAAATCGGTTGCAGAAGATGCATAGATATGGAATTAGCATGTAGCAGGTTTAGTTAAAACATAAATGAGTGAGTGGTTTATGTACTGTTTACTGCTTCCAGATTGTCTCTTTTTGTAAACTGCTCCTCTTGTATACGACAGAGATTGTCCTTCTAGTAGTCCTATCATCAGAACTGGTGTTTCAACTCAAGATTCTGCTCTGATCTTCTACACAAGTTCAACTGAGATGCTGCTTAATTTCAGGACACGAATTGGTCGTATACTGTACCCATGACTCTGGAAAAATGGTCGTATACTGAAGCGACAGATTAATGTGAGGTTCATCCAGAGTTCAGTAATACACATTTTAGAAATTCTGTAAATTGCATCCATCTACCCAGACTCTTTTCTTTTTGTCAAACAAACCTCAAAATTGAAGACTACCAAGTAACCTTGTGATTTGTCTATGAGGCAGTCTTCAATTTTGTTTATGAGGCATGAAGAGACTAATGGGTTAGACTTTAGAGTAAAGTGCAACATTTTTCATGGAAATAATGTAAACTTAGACAACCAACAATGCCAACAACTAGTTTAATTAGATTAGGTAAGGTGTTGGCGAATGTCCAACGATCCACCAAAACAAGTACTACTCTTGTTCCAATAGTTAACGCTATAATACGATTTAATGAACTTGTTGAAGAACTTTTATTGTGTTACCATTGTGATGTTAATTTCCCAGAATCAACCAAGACTTTTAAACTCTTATCAAATTATAGGTTAAATATTACAATGTACATGTCTTCTAGACGAGCAGACTAGTCATTACTATAATTTTCTGGTCAATCAAAGTAGTTAACTTACTTTATTGAAAGCGTTGTACTTTCTTTATTTAAAATCAACGGACGAATAAGCAAGCAATCTATAACTATAAGTATCCACAGAACAGTTGCAGAAACGTGTATAGGCAGAGAGAGAGAGAGAGAGAGAGAGAGAGAGTGGGTGGGAGAGATCATGATAAGAGAAATTGCAGCAGTGGTTTTGATCGTGCTACTCTCATGGGCTTACAATTCCACCTACCCTCCACCACCCAAGATTTGTGGGAGAGACCCAGATGGCCCTCCAGTCACAGCTCCAAGGATCAAGCTCAGAGATGGAAGGCATTTGGCTTACAAAACCCATGGCGTCCCCAAATCCAGTGCCAAGTTCAACCTCATAACCCTCCATGGCACTTCCTCTTCCCTGCACGACATTCCTGGTTCCCCAGTAAGACCCTTTTCTTCATTTCCTCTGAAACCCCCAAGAATTTTTTGCTATTATGTATGCAGATAATAAGCAACTACTGAAACTTTTTGCTTCGTAGCAAGTCTGGGAGGAGCTCGGGCTGCATATGGTTTCCTTTGACCGGCCCGGTTACGGGGAGAGCGATCCGGACCCTAAGCGGACACCCAAGAGCTTGGCTATGGATGTGGAGGAGCTCGCTGATCAGTTGGAACTTGGCTCCAAGTTCTATTTGATTGGCTTTTCCATGGGCGGTCAGGCTGTTTGGGGCTGCCTCAAATACATTCCTCACAGGTAGGTACCTATTGGTTGACTTTTGGCTCTGAACAGAACTGAATCGACTGAAACTATAGCAGAGGGGAAGATCAATGGGTAGCTTAGCTTTTTCCCCGTTTTGGAATGGTGGGTTTGGATTAATTCCTTCTTCTTTTGGTCTGTTTGGGTGTTAAAAACACTAACAGGTTAGCAGGTGTGGCAATGGTTGCACCGGTTGTGAACTACTGGTGGCCAGGCTTCCCAGCCAACCTATCTAAGCAAGCTTACAACCTCCAGCTCCCGGAAGATCAATGGGCGTTACGAGTTACTCACCATACTCGATGTCTCACCTACTGGTGGAACTCTCAGAAATGGTTTCCTGGATCAGCTGTTCTAGCTGGGAATCCTCGAGTTCTCTCTCCCCAGGACTTGAAAATAGCATCCATGGCTGGGGAAGATGTAATTAAACTCAGGGTACTTGTTGAAACACCCCTCTCCATCCTTTTAACACTACACTTGCTACTGGTGAACACTCACTGCTGATCACCATGGAAGACATTCATCCGTTCTTGAGTTGAGCTGATAATTTTGTTTGTTTATCTGCAGGGATATGCAACTCAGCAAGGCGAATTCGAATCGTTACACAGGGACCTGATGGTTGGATTCGGGAGCTGGGAGTTCGACCCCATGGATTTGGAGAATCCATTTCCAGAGAGTGGTGGTCTTGAAGGAGGAGGGTCTGTCCATGTTTGGCAGGGTGATGAGGATGGAATGGTTCCGGTGCTGTTGCAGCGTTACATCGCGACTAGACTTCCATGGATCCAATATCATGAGGTGCCTGGTGCTGGCCACTTGTTCCCCTATCTGCCTAGCTATGCCGATGCTATTTTAAGGTCTCTGTTACTTGGGAAGAACAATTGAAGCCCTGTTTGCTGCCTCTTCTTTTCGTTGTTTCTGTTCCAATTGGAAACAAAACAAGCAACATTCTTTCTTCACTTTGTATGGAATGTTTCTGATACAGTCGCGTACTCTTTATTAGGTGTTATTCCAACTGATTTTCGTCTTTGGCTGCTGCCACAATTATTACAGACTGTTATTTTGATAAAATATATATGGCTCCAGAAGCCAGCGAAATCCCATTAGCTCAACATGAGACTACATTAACAGCTTGCTGCTACCTAAAACACGGTGGTGGTAATGAAAGAACAAGCTATGACCACTGGACTGCAAGCTGCACCAATCGTCAACTAACAGTCACAGTGTCTTGGTGGCTTCTGTTTAGCAAGCTGCAAACAGAAAACTGCTCGACTCCAGAGTTGGCTGTCGTTTCCAGATGCTAATGCCCGCTACAGTGTTATCGCTACTGTTGGTAGTGGTTGTTAACCTGGACGCATTGCGGCTCCGCATGGATTCTACATTCTGGAAACACCATCATCATTTTCATATTCAACCACGCCCTTCTTTATTTGTCTCTGCAGCACAAATATCATGTTATTGCTTATAGTTGATTCTGAGCATAACAAAAAAGCCAACACAAGTTCGTTCAAAGCAGTACTTGGATCCAACGCTCTTCAGATCATACATCATATCCGAGTAAAGGCATGTAGCAACTACCATTTCCAGGTGGCCACTACCCTGTGAACGATAATTAGAAAAATAGTTAGTTCGATTGATGCTCACCTTTTGATGAGATGTCAGAGCTACGAACGCAAAGTAAGCCTTTTGAATTTTGATGCATCAAACACAGGAAATCATCTGCAAGTGCCAGTTTGAAAGTTAGAAAATTTGCAAAAAGCAAAAGCATATATTAAGTGCTGAAGACTTAGAATTAGCACCAGGCAGTCTGAATTCCTACCACGGACTAGGATTCCCTGTAGTAAAATTTGGTCATCAACTTTGTACTAGACCAGAATCACTGATATTCTGCTCAAATAATGCAAGCAAGAAGCATTCACATGGACTAGAATGGGCACGTCAAATCTCCTGCTCATGATTTGCTTAAAGGATCAAACACCAAGAGTAACCAAGGAACTGCAAGTATTCATCTTGGTGATCTCTGTAAAACGAAATTAATAGGGTAAACACTACTTTAAAAAATTAGTCAAGAAAACAAAACAAAAAAAAAAAAAAAATCAACCAGACTAGCAAGTCCTACCTGTACATGATGAGCCTGAAGGGATTTGGAATGGACAAGTCCTCTGACTTGTCCACCTCGTTTCTCTGATTGTTGAATTCAACATTACTATAATAATCAGAGTCTATCAACGTTGACTAAGGAGGGGAAAACAACCAAATTACAGAATATAAGTAAGCTATGAAGAATGTAAATACTTTTAAATTGAATTAACATTCAGAAAGCAGTTTCAGGCAGAGAGGACTCACTGTCCATCATTTCAGCAATGCATCCTTGTAAGAGAATAGGAGAAGAAAAAAAAGCATACCGAGATACATAATAATTTATACTCGCTTTCTGACAGACGGTCAAGCTGATAAGCTTCATTAATTGGCTACTTAATGATACAGCAACAGAGACATTGTCCACCTCGTTCACCTCTCTGATTGTGCAATTCAACATTACTATAATAAGGAGGGGAAAACAAGCAAATTACATAAGATAAGTCAGCTAGGAAGAATGTAAATACTTTTAAATTGAATTAACATTCAGAAAGCAGTTTCAGGCAGAGAGGACTCATTGTCCATCATTTCAGCATTGCATCCTTGTAAGAGAACAGGAGAAGAAAAAAAGCATACCGAGATACATAATAATTTATACTCTAAGCTTTCTGACAGACGGTCAAGCTGATAAGCTTCATTAATTGGCTACTTGATGCTACAGCAACAGAGACAGAGTGATGCAATTCATGATTAAGGTTGTTAGCGTCAACAATTAAGTAGTTCACATTGTTAAATCCACAAGCAGATCATAATTGGAGATCTAAAATAAATATTTATGCTGTTACCATGGTTTACCAGATTGACAAACAATTCATGTTCAGCCGTTGTTCTATTATCCTACACAATTTCATTGTCTAATTTAACAACCAAAAGTTAAAATCGTTGAGCGTCTTCCTTATCAATGTTGCTCAAAGTATAAAAGAAAATACATAAAAACCTAGAGCAAATTTACCTCATTAATGAAGGGGAGAGTTCTTGTGCAAGCAATAATCCTGAAGTGATCACGATAACAAACAAACATTAGACTGTATTAGCTGAAAGACACAAGTGTTGAACAATAAAACTTGATCTTGACACAAACAGCAATTAAACCTGTTAGCTGCTCTTAGTTAAAGCAAGTCGCTTTCCCTTGAAGTCGAACGTTAATCTGCAAGGTGAGAATCGCCACAAGGAACTGTTCAAATGCATCTTCCTCTCGTTGAAAATGCAATTGCACCATGAGATTTAGATGGATGGATGGATTCAAAGCCTCTCATACTTCATCCTAGCTCGAAGCAACTATTCATGGGACCGACATTTCAAGTCTTTTAAGATACCATGATTCCACGCAGACTTGAAAATGTTATCAGGCCGTAATTGACTATCTAACATTTTGTCACGAAGAACTGCAGCACCAGCTACATCTCCAACATAAAAGTATCCACATAAAAGAGCCGTGTATGTCACAGTGTCAGGCTGCATCCCTCTATCAATCATCTCCTGGAAAAGTTTTACAGCATCCTTGAACTTATTTGCTTTGCAGCGCTCGTCTATCAAAACAGTATAAGTAACAACATCAGGCTTTATATCCATTCCCTTTAGTTCATTCAAAAGTAGAGAATGTTCTGCATTATTGCTGCTGATCCCTATAGCCCTCCTCCTGGACCTTATTTTCAAGGCCCCATCAAGCAAAACTGTGTAAGTGATAACATCTGGTTCAAGCCCTTTACTCTTCATATCATACAGAAGATTACAGGCCTCTCTCTCACAATTGACCCTGCAATAACCATTTATCATCATAGTGTATGTCATCATATCCACACTTAGCCCTCTGCCGACAAGAAGGTCAAACACATATTGGGCCTTTTCCATTTCTCCAGCACGAGAAAGCATGCCTATAGCTTTGCTGCATATAATATTAGAATATTCAGCACCTAGAGCTAACACTGTCTCAACTAGCTGAATAGATTTCTCAATATCATATTCCATACTGGAAAGCAGTTTCAAGCAAGAACGTTTCTTCAGTGTATATCCTTTTGCAGTCAGAGAAATAAATAAGTCAAAGGCCTTTTCTATGCTTCGTGCCAAGCAGTAACCATTAACCATGGCATTAAAGATGTCCAAGTTCTGGTCTTTCAAGTTAGAAAAAAAAGCTTCAGCATCCTCCATGTTGCCTCCAGTGCATAGTCCTTCAATGATGACACTGTATGTGTCATTGTTAGGTTCAATACCATGGTCCTTCATGTACAGTAACAAATTGCTGACTTCTTGTGTCAGACCTAATCTGGAGAAACCAGAAGCGAGTACATTATAAGTGACAATATCAGGGATAATTCCATTTTCTTTCATTTCTTGGAATACGTTTAGGGCCTCGTAAGGTTTTCCTTCATCAAAATAACCACCAACTACAGTTGTATAGTTAACAACATCAGGAACAATGCGCTTATTTTTCATCTCGGCAAGCAATTCAACTACCGCATTCATGTTCCCTAACTTGCAGCAGACATTCATCACTATATTGTAGCAAACCTTATCAAGGTAGATACCCATCGTCTTACATGTCTCGAATAAATTTAGAAGGTTAGAACCCTTGCCTACTTGAGACCAGCCCTGAAGAATCGAGCTGACTATCACGCAATTTGTTTTCACACCTTCTGACAACATGTCGTCATGAAGAGCTACAGCATCAAGTAAATTCCCATCCCTGCATAACCCACAAATCAAAGCACCATAAGTATACACATCGGGAACAAAGCCCTGCCTTTTCATCTCACCTAGTACATCCGAAGCCTCTTTAAGTTTCATCTGATTACAAAACCCTCGAATCACAACTGTATAAGCAAACTCATCTACTGGAAGCTTAGCTCCTATTAGAAGTTGAAGTGCTTTATAACCTGAATCCGGGCCGTTATGAGCACACAACCCTTCAATATAAGTTGAGTAGGCAAACGCATTCGGAGTCATCCCAAGATCTTCCATTGTCTGGAAAATAGACAATGCCTGGTCCAAGCAACCTTTCCTACAGAATGCTTTAACAACAATGGAGCAAGTATACTCATTAGGTTGTAATCCAAAACAATCCAACTGCATATAAATAGCCACAGCAGCATCAATCTCCCTAGACTCAATCAAGCGGTTCATGAGAAAATTACACGTTAAAATGCTCGGCTTAACCCCTAACAGCTGAACTCTGACAAGAACATCGATCGCCTCATCAAACATTTCATCTACTGCATGAATTTTTACCAATGCATCCGAAACTTTCGAAATGATCTTCGTACAATCAACATCACAACCATCAAATAAAGCTTCCAGCAAATCCGAAACAGAGAATTCCCGCACCGTCTCCTTGTTGATGAGTTCAGAAAGCATAGAATTCAATTTCCTGTCCAAGTTCCAGAAACACAATATCCTAATCATAGCAGCAGAAGTGTAGACATCATGAACAAAACCGCCTCGTTTCAGTTGGTGGAAGAAAGAAAGTGCAAGGAAAGGCTCCTTCCTCAAATCATGCAAATGATGGAGAACTCGACCACAATCCAGCTGCCCCGAACTGCTCCGATCATCCTTTTGTTGATGGGTATCAACTCTTGTTGGCTCCTCTGACCAGGTTGGAATCCGCCGGGAAAGCGCAGGAGCAGCGTAGCAGTAGCATCGCCTCAGCCTCACTTGTTTGAGGAAAGTGTATGACAGTGAAAGCTTAGCCGGCGATAGCCACATGGAACGCTACGACCTTTCTAGTGTCTCAAGCATTCAACCTCGGAGCATCTTTCAGCGGCGGCGGCCGGAGAAACTCAGCGGCGAGAGAGAGAGAGAAGGCAAGCTGAAACGGAAATGTTCATCGTTCAACCCTAATGTTTAAAAATTTGCTTAACATTTTACTTCTTTTAGCCGCTAAACGACATCGTTTGACATCAGGTACTTAGTTTTTTTTTTTTCCCTTTTCCTTTTCCTTTTTTTTTTCTCCTTCTCCGAAGGAGAGGCTGTGTCTGTATGTATTGTAAATCCGTAGGCCAAAGCAGCGATTGAAACACTCGCAGGGTTTCAGCAACTCGCCCGAGCGGGAAAATATTGCCGGAAGTTAGGGTTTTCGCTACTCGGCATTGGTCGGATTCGATTTGGACATCCTCCGATTCGGTTGCTCTGCTTACTTTCTTCTTCGAGCTTCGTGTAGGTTTCAGCAACAACACCGTGCGTCAAGATGAGGATTATGATAAAGGGCGGTGTTTGGAAAAACACCGAGGATGAGATCCTCAAGGCGGCGGTTATGAAGTATGGGAAGAATCAGTGGGCTCGTATCTCTTCGCTTCTCGTTCGGAAATCTGCCAAGCAGTGTAAGGCTCGCTGGTATGAGTGGCTGGACCCGTCGATCAAAAAGGTAACGCCCTTCTTCACTTCTCGCCTTATGTCTTCTTTCCCTGTTGCAGTTGGGCTGGAGTATGGAGATTTTTTATGGGTGATAGTTTAAAACAGATCGGAACTCGGGTACTGATGATATTGTTAGATGCCTTACGTTACTACATAGCTCTGAGTGTGACGCGAATTTGTGAAAATTGCTGTGTGTGAGGCTGATGCTAACTTGATTTGGTTGTTGCAGACTGAGTGGACTAGAGAAGAGGATGAGAAACTGCTCCATCTTGCTAAGCTCATGCCCACTCAATGGAGAACAATTGCACCCATTGTGGGCCGTACTCCATCCCAGTGTCTTGAAAGATATGAGAAGCTCCTTGATGCTGCCTGTGTTAAGGATGATAACTATGAGCCTAATGATGACCCTCGAAAGCTGCGTCCGGGGGAAATTGACCCGAATCCTGAATCTAAGCCAGCACGTCCTGACCCTGTTGATATGGATGAGGATGAGAAGGAAATGCTTTCTGAAGCAAGGGCTCGGTTAGCCAACACAAGAGGAAAGAAGGCCAAAAGGAAGGCTAGAGAGAAGCAGCTTGAAGAGGCTAGGAGGCTTGCTTCCTTGCAGAAAAGAAGGGAACTTAAAGCTGCTGGTATTGATATTAGGCAAAGAAGGAGAAAAAGGAAGGGGATTGACTATAATGCTGAAATTCCTTTTGAGAAGAGGCCTCCTCCTGGCTTCTATGATGTTGCTGATGAAGATACAGCAGTGGAACAACCAATGTTCCCTACTACCATCGAAGAACTTGAAGGGAAACGAAGGGTTGATGTGGAAGCACAGTTGAGAAAGCAGGACATAGCAAAGAACAAAATTGCTCAGAGGCAGGATGCTCCAGCTGCCATCCTGCAAGCTAACAAGCTAAATGATCCTGAATCAGTTAGGAGGAGATCAAAGTTGATGCTACCGGCGCCTCAGATTTCTGATCATGAATTGGAGGAAATTGCAAAAATGGGCTATGCTAGTGATCTCATTGCTGAGAGTGAGGAACTAGCAGCGGGGAGTGGTGCAACACGTGCACTTCTTGCGAACTATTCCCAGACACCTCATCAAGGAATGACGCCGTTACGCACCCCGCAGAGAACTCCTGCGGGTAAAGGGGATGCCATCATGATGGAGGCAGAAAACCTTGCTCGGTTGAGAGAGTCACAGACCCCATTATTGGGTGGAGATAACCCTGAGTTGCATCCCTCAGATTTCTCTGGGGTGACTCCTAAGAAACGGGAAATTCAAACTCCAAATCCTTTATTGACTCCTTCTATGACTCCCTCAATGACTCCTTCGATGACTCCAGGAAGAGCTAGTGTTACTCCTAGAGTTGGCATGACACCTTCACGTGATGGATACACTTTTGGTATGACTCCAAAGGGGACACCCATTAGGGATGAACTACATATAAACGAAGACATTGATATGCCTGATAGTGCTAAGCTTGAGAGGAGAAAGCAAGCTGATCTGAGGGAGAATTTACGAGCTGGTCTTAGTAATTTGCCACAGCCCAGGAACGAATATCAGATTGTTGTACAACCGCCTCCAGAAGAGTTTGAGGAACCAGAAGAGAAGATTGAAGAGGATATGTCTGATAGGATGGCCAGAGAAAAGGCTGAGGAGGAAGCACAGCTCCAGGCATTGCTTCGGAAGAGATCAAAGGTACTACAGAGGGAGCTCCCAAGGCCCCCTGCTGCTTCTTTGGAATTGATTAGAAGTTCTCTGCTGAGAGCTGATGGAGACAAGAGTTCGTTTGTTCCTCCGACAGTGATTGAACAAGCTGATGAACTGATAAGAAAAGAGCTTTTGAAATTATTGGAGCATGACAATGCAAAGTACCCACTTGATGAGAAACCAAATAAGGAGAAAAAGAAAGGTACCAAGCGTTCAGCAAATGGACCCGCTACACCTATCCCTGTCATAGAGGATTTTGAGGAAGATGAGCTAACAGAGGTACGCATTTCATTTTGTATACATGAATAGTTGGTCTTTATATTACCAATCCTGTGACTAGGGTTGGTAGATGTACTTATTTGTTTCTGCTGGTAACTTTTCTACACCGAGATCGGTGTACTTATTTGTATGCTGATATTCACTGTTGTTTATAATTTTTGTTTTTTACCTTTTTTCTGGCGGTATAGACACTTATGTAGAGGGAGCGAAAAATGTAATGCTGCATATTGCAATGCTTCATATCATGCTACTGCATTCTGTATTTATGTAGTGCATTCATCCCTCCATCAAACCCAGTGTGTGACTAATTGGGTTTCATGTAGGTGTTTTGACTGGATTTCTTGAGTAACATGTTTGATGATCATGCTATTGCAGGCTGACACTTTGATAAGAGAAGAGTCTCAGCATGTACGTGTTGCAATGGGGCATGAGGGCGAGTCTCTTGAAGAATTTGTTGAAGCACACAAGACTTGCCTGAATGATTTGATGTACTTTCCTACTCGGAGTGCTTATGGTCTTTCCAGTGTCGCTGGTAATATGGAGAAATTGGCTGCCTTGCAGTTTGAATTTGAGAATGTCAAGACAAGGTTGGAGGCTGAAAGGGAGAAGGCATTACGCCATGAAAAGAAAGTGAATGTTCTGACGCAAGGTTATCAGGTATGAGGCATTCAGACCTTATTGCTTCCAGCAGTGTTCATCTTTTGATCTGCACTGGAAAACACCATTTTATCTCTTCCTTGTTGTTGGTTGCCTGTCTTTCCTACTGCTTACCTGGTTCAGCAGTTATGATGGTTTTCTGATATCATGCTGGCTTGCTGATGTGGTTTTGCTTTACTTAAAATGTACCTGTGGTTTTGTTGAACAACATGCACTTATTTGTGTTGAGAACTTTGTGTAAGCTTTGACCAAGTTCTAGACGACTTGGAGAAATAAGAAAATAGAGGAAGAAGAACTTTGCCTTTTAGACTACTGTTCCGTCATTAACAATGTTTCCCCCTTCGGTAACTGCTCGAAGTTTACAGGTAGCACATGATTCTGTTTGTGAATATCCATGTCTTCCTTTCTCTTGTACTTGGTTGTTCGCATATTGCCTTAAGCCTGATAAACTGCTTGTCACCCATTGTTTGTTTTATATCTGGGCATGGATGACTGGCAATCATATTGGGTTTTGTTGCGTGTGTTTGGTGCAATCAAATTGAGATTCTGCTGTTCTACTCTTGTTTGTGCACTAAAAATGTTTGGTATTTTTCAATGATCAGATACGTGCTGAAAGGCAGCTTATGCCACCAATCGAGTCAATCTTAAAGCAAATAGACACTGCTGGAACGGAATTGGAATGTTTCCAAGCATTACAAAAGCAAGAGCAGTTAGCTGCATCACACAGGATTAATAGTCTGTGGGAGGAGGTACAGAAGCAAAAAGAACTGGAAAAAATTCTTCAAAGGCAGTATGGAGATCTTGTCACTGAGTTGGAGAGGATGCAGCTGCTTGTCAAACATTACAGAGAACAAGCCAAACAAGAAGAGATTGCTGCCAAGGAACGTTCGATTGAATTGTCTGCTACTGTTCAAGATGATGCCATGGTAGATGCTGAGACCTCCGAGCAGCCAATGTCAACAAATGGTGCTGTGCCCGTCAGTTCTGCATCTCATGATGAAGTTGCACCACTTCCAGAGACTGATCAAGCTGGAGAACGTGTCACCACAGATGCAGAACTAGTTGCCTCTGAGGATGATGTAAAGCAGGGTTCAATTTCTGCAGACCAACAAACGGTCCTCTTGGCCGAAACAAATCCAGGTAGTGGCGACAATGCTGATGCCATTGGGCATGTAGTCCTAGGCCAAGTCCCGAGTGCCGAAATTGATGAACATAAGGCAGAAAGGGATGAAAATGTTGCAAAGGCGGATGTGGAGGATGTTACCATGTCTGAACAAGCAGCGACGAGGACGGATGAAGAAAGAGAGTCCACGGGTACTATTGAGAAGGAAGAGTGACGCTTGAAATTGCATCAGACTGGCATCCTTGTTCTTCACTAGTGAAAACAATCATATGAGATTGGAACTGTAGAACCTCAAAGAGTGATTCCTTAGGGATCTGGGCATCAGTTGTGATGGAACTTTGTTCTGTTTTGGATACCCTACGTTACATAAGAATAGATGGACGAGCAGAAGATGGTGTGGTGAGATTTTAGGTTCTGTCGTAGCTGTCTTGGTTAGTTGATGAACTTAGCTACTTGTTTGGGAAGCTCTCCAAAGGTGCATAGAGACAACAATGCGTTTGTCCTTATTTCTCAACGAGTTTGAAAGACCTTGTTAGCACTCTTGTGATATAACCGGATTGAGAACATATTGGGCACTGGGCCTTGTTTGGGCCGGCGCACTCACGCCTCAGACTTGTTTATACGGTTAAATCGTGTTGTGTTTATTCGTGCTTGTATAGTGCTCATATCGTGAATCACAAAAAAAGAAGAAACTAAAACGGGATTGAAAAATACTGGAAAAATTGGATGAAAATGCTCAGAAAGGTAACAAATAAGGAGGAGAAAAATGGAAGTATATGGAAAGTGATTATGCCTCCACGTGTGTTTTTAATTCTTTAGCCAGTTTTACTTATTGTACTAATAACCTATAATATTTTTTCTGATCACTTCTAACAACAAAACTCATTATTTATGTAGTTATAATTTGTAATTTTTGAACTCATAGTTCTATTTATATTTATTTTTTATAGATCAAGTATTTTTTGGCCATGTCGTGCCTATACTCGATGGGATCACAAAAATATTAGGTCCGACACAATCTGCTTATAAACAGTGTCATGCATGTACTCGTGTTTGTACTCTTTTTTTTTTGGGTTAAAGACACATTTGGTCACTGGGTTTATTAAAATGTGTCATGTTTAGTCACTGAAAAAAATAAATATCAAATTTGGTCACTCGAATTAATAAAACAGTCCATATTTAGTCACTCTCCGTTAACTTTGCAGTCAACCCTAACAGTTGACTGTTAAATGTCTGACGTGGCGATTAAAAATTAATATAAAAATTAATTTTTTTTTTAATATTTCCACATCATTAAAATAATAAAATAAGTAAATTAAATCTTTTCTCCTCTCCACAACCGCCCCAGCGTCTTCTTTTTCAACCTCCCCCACTGCCGCTGCCGCCGGCAAAACTCCGGCGTCTTCTTGTTCAGCTTGTTGCTGTCAATGTCCTCCATGGTCAACTTGGCGAGCTCTTCAATCCCATTCACGGTGACAAGCTTCATGGGTTCTTTCTCCAGCTTCACTTTCTCCTGTGGGTTAATCCCCTGTCGAAACTTCTCCTTCAGTACCCAATACCCTGCTCTTTCTTCCACCCTCGGCTCCAGCCTCGTCGCTTCCACCTCCGCCGGCGCCGCCGTGGCAGGCGGGCTGACGGCCGCAAAGAGCCTGTTGGGTTTCTGCCTGGTGGAGGCGCGGCATCTGGGCAGCGGTGGGGTGAGGAACTTGGGGGAAAATGATGACATGTTGGGAATTTTTCGTCAGGTGGCAGAGGATTCAAGATCAGAGAAACAGGGGAGGATTTTGTTTCTTGAGGGGAGTGGAAGGAAGAGGTTTTGTAGAGAAGAAGGAAGGGAAGGGAAGGGCGGCCTTTGGATGAGGGCGTGTGGCGGTGGGAAGATGTGTTGGAAACACATCTTCTTCGTAGATATGGTATTCACCGACGGACGCCGGAGTTTTGCCGGCGGCAGCGGCAGTGGGGGAGGTTGAAAAAGAAGACGCTGGGGCGGTTGTGGAAAGGAGAAAAGATTTAATTTACTTTTATTTATTTATTTTATTATTTTAATGATGTGGAAATATTAAAAAAAATTAATTAATTTTTTTATTAATTTTTTAATCGCCACGACAGACATTTAACAGTCAACTGTTAGGGTTGACTGCAAATTTAACGGAGAGTGACTAAATATGGACCGTTTTATTAATTCGAGTGACCAAATTTGATATTTGTTTTTTTCAGTGACTAAACATGACACATTTTAGTAAACCCAGTGACCAAATGTGTCTTTAACCCCTTTTTTTTTTTAACGTTGGATGGTCGTTTCGTTAATAACGAAACACGACATACATAGTTTACAACACTGAAAGAAAGGACGAAAAAACCAACAAAAATAGGGTTGAAACAAAAATTGGAACTACAAGTCCCAAGGCCCGCAAAACCCAAAACCTTGGTCCAAACACTTTGGGCAAAATGACCACTAGTAACCCTACAACTGTTGGTCGCCTGGTCTGAAACACTGAGGGGATGGCTGTCAAAAGCATCCCCACCAACAAAAACGCGTCGCCAACATCCTTTCTGCATTCACGTTGACAAACGAGCAGGAACGACGGATGAAGGAGATCAAAGCTCCAAACAACACTGGTTCCATTAGACCGCCGACGTGCCGACAAAAGGGAAACCTGAAGCCTTGATGTGGATAACCGATTCCAGAGAGAGCTCTGAACTTCACCTACACAAACAAGTAAAATATAGCGCAAACCCAGGGCTTGGACAGAGGAGAGGCAACCAAATCATCATTAATCTGAGCCCTCGCCTGGATCTAAACTCAACAGAGCCATCCTTGCTCACAAACCCCCTGAATCTTCATCCAATGCAACTAGGGTCCAAGCATCTCCGAACCATCCCCATGTATGAATGAATCATGTGGAGCTAGATGGAGGACTAGAGGGTCGGGGAGCAAGCGAGACGAACTCAACCCCCTCAAACACCTACTAGAAAGAAACATCCACACAGATCTAGGATCAAGTGGGGAGCAAAAGCATCTCCTCGGAGAGATAAGAAAGAACATCATCACAAAGATGGAGGAAGAGCTAACAGGGAAAGGCAGTAGCAGGAGGAGGGAAAAGGAAGGTAAAAAGAGAGGTTAAGGGCTACCGCCGGTCCCAAAGTGGAGGCCGATGACAGCCCATCATAGATCTAGATTTGAATTCAAATGAAAAGGGATATAATGGGAAAGGTAGAGAGAGTGATAGCCTATTTGTGTTTATACTCATGAAGTTTAGGCCATACACAACATATGAAGTATTCATTCTCTTGTCAGGCTGGTCGATATACTACGTGCCCGTTCTCATGCATGCCCTGATCATAACGTGTCGTGCTAACCCATAGACCGCTCGACCGGATTCACATGTACAATTGAGAAGCATAAAACATCAATTGCACTATCCATTAAAATGTTGCATTTCGTAATATAATCCTAAATGAATTAGGATTATATAATATATTCTTTTAATCGCGTGGCATCTTCTTTGTTTTATATACATGATCAATATATGATATGTATCATTAGGATTTCAATTCGCAATCAAATATCTTTATTAACTTAAACACGTTTCTCAATTCTCTCCTTATCGACAAACAAGAATGAACATTCGAGTGAGTCTACCGCCAAATCCATCTGATATGATCCAAATTGGCCACTTCTACAAGTCACAATTACTTGCCAAAGAAGCTATCAAGGTTGGAAAGAAGAAAGGCAGAATTTGGCTAAGTCAAAATCCGTGTTCAGGGTACATACTTTGGAGGCATGGTTCTCTCAATTGGCTTGGTGGAAATTCAAATTTAAGGGTTTGTTTTACAGATAAAGTTACCATGTTTCCAATGGTATGCTTTGTGGATCCAGATGATGTCATTAAGATTGTTTTCCAAGGCCTCAAAGTTGCTACCTCAAAACTGGAAAACTGCCAGAAAATAGCTAAGGCAGAAAACTGTTTTGTGAAGCCTACTTTGGAGCTTGATTCGAGGAGTATGGATCTGATTCAAGTCCAAAGGCTTCCACAACATGAAACTAGGTATGTTTGTGAACAAATGGAAGGAATTGGATGAAGAATTGGAGTTCGGAAAGGCCTCGAACAAAAGGCGCGAAGTTAGTACGAAAGCTGCCTTTTGACTGTTTTGCGGGCAGATTACTTGTGCGCCAAGAAAGGAAGTTTATGGCCGAAATTTGAGTCCTTTTTAGAGTTTGTTTTTACCTTAATTGTTTCCTTGTTCATCTAGATTTGTATTAGGTTTTATTGGCTATAAATAGGCCTCCATTTACGTTGTAAAAACATAAGACTTTGATTAATCGAAAAACAAACCTTTGGTTTTGTGCAAGTTGCGACTTGTTTGAGTTTGGTGGATTCCAAGCTTGTGAGCTTCGTATCGATTGAATATCCTCTTCAATCGTGGTCGAGCAGCTACCCTTTTATACCATACGAGCTTTCCCCAGGTGTGGAATTGTCCGTTGGTTCCGTTTTATCCCAAGTTCGTATTAAGAGCGCTTCGTTCTTGATTCGAGCTCAATCGATTCTTCGATTGAGTCGTTTGTTGCGTTACTTTGATAACATACACCCCCTAGGGGCGTATTACCATCCAAGTCCAACCAATTAAAACCCAACCACCATGTGTTTAGGTGGTTATTTTCTACTTAACCTATTAAACTTGAACGAACGACGGATGCCTTATTTATTTACCCAAGAAACCACTCAATATAATGTCATTGATTTACATTATGCAATCACACATTTGTCATTTTTACCCAAAAGATCAAGTGGGATTGATCCATGGCTTATACAAAGTGCATCGAAAGTTTGTTGCTTGCAAAGAAGATGTTTTGCATTAAATTATGTTTAATGATTAGGTGCAATGCAAAAATAGGTTTAGTGCTCCAAGAATTATGTTTGAACAAGTTTGGACAACCTAATTAGAACCTAACCATACACTCTAACTCTAGAAAATAACATAACGGATTTGTTAAGCAAATTGGCTGAACTTTGATGATCCATATATAAAACAAACATTGTTTAGGGACTGCAGAATGAACACCATAACTTGAGGGACCATGCGGGATATAAACTCTTGCATTTACTGACGCATTAATTATTCTTTTATTTTATATTCCACCATAAAGTGTAATAAAGCTCTTCTTCATCTTCCTTCCAGTCCACAGTCTCTCTCACAGTGATGCCATTCTCCTTCTCCACTCCCCTTTTTCTTCTTCAACCCTCATCTCCACCACATCCACTGCCTTCCCTCCGCCGCCGTCTCTCCATCTCCAATTCGTAGCATTTTCCTTCTCCTTCGCCGGAAGTCATGTCGTCTTCTTCTCCAATCGTCTACTCCATCTCCCTTCTACTATCCCTCGCACTCATCTTCATCTTCGCTCCCGAAATCCTCCCTTCCCAAAACCCTTTTTCCTCCCCTCACGACGATCTTGACGATCTCGCTCTCTTCAATAAAGCCCTCCGCTCCGTCCACGGCGGCGGCCGCGGCGGCCACCGCCGGCTCCGAATCTCCCGCCTCGCCACCAAAAACCCCACCCCCAAGATCGCCTTCCTCTTCCTCACAAACTCCAACCTCACCTTCGCCCCTCTCTGGGACCGCTTCTTCCGCGGCCACTCCCACCTCTACAACATCTACGTCCACGCCGATCCCTTCTCCGCCGTCGAAATCCCTCCACCCTTCGAATCGCACCTCATACCCAGCAAGAGGACAGAGAGGGCTTCCCCAACCTTAATCGCCGCCGAGCGGCGGCTCCTCGCCCGGGCCATTCTCGACGACCCGTTCAATCTCTATTTCGCCCTCGTCTCCCAGCACTGCATCCCTATCCACTCTTTCCCCTTCTTCTACCGCTCGCTTCTTGGGGATAACCCGATTAGGGCTTTCGGCTCCCAGCCTCGTCACCGGAGCTTCATCGAGATCCTCTCCGACGACCCCAATCTCCCCGAGCGGTACGCCGCCCGCGGGGAGAACGCGATGATGCCAGAGGTGCCCTTCGACGAGTTCCGGGTCGGGTCGCAGTTCTTCGTGCTCGCCAAGCGCCACGCGCTGCTCGTGCTGTCTGACAGGAAGCTGTGGAGGAAGTTCCGGCTCCAGTGCCTGAACCTGGACTCCTGTTACCCGGAGGAGCACTACTTCCCGACGCTTCTGTCCATGGCGGATCCCAAAGGGTGCAGCAAGTTCACTCTGACGAATGTGAACTGGACGGGGAGCTGGGATGGACACCCGTACACCTACGAGGCACCGGAGATATCGGCGGGGTTGATACGGAGGTTGAGGCAGTCCAATTCCAGCTACCCTTATTTTTTTGCCAGGAAATTTTCGCCGGATTGCCTGCCGCCGCTGATGGATATTGCCGAGGACGTAATTTTCCGGGATTGAGTGAACGGCAACCGAGCAGCAGCAAAAGGGGAAAGTAAGTAAAACTAAACCGAATTTTCTTATTTGTTTTTTTTTTCCTGATAAATTCTTTAATCTCCATTGAGCCAGTAAAATAATGAAATTTAAGTCATTATATTGAGTAGTAGTTAATTAGATAACAAATGCTCGTCAATGAGGCGTTTTTGGGTGCTAAAATGCAGGGAGAGACTGTTCAAATGAGATTTGAAGGCTCTTTATAATTTCTTATTTTCTTTCATGGGGCGTGATTAATTAGTTTTGATGAATTGCATTGTTAGAGTGTTTAAGGGTAAAATATTAAATCTTTACAAAATGTTGGGTCTTCCCCTTGACATTGAATGAAATTAAACACATGAAAGGGAATTGTTTTGCTTGTTTGATTCCCTTTTTGTAATGTACCAAGTGGTTATGGTTTGTATATGCGATGAATGACGAATAGGAATGAAACCAAAAGAAGCTAAATGAAAGGGTTAATGGAAAAGACATAGTAGTGAAAACAATTATAGTTTATCTTCAAAATACCATCAGACTCGTAAGTCGCCATACCTTAGCAATGCACGAACTTGTGCTCGGGTGTTCTAGTCCTAACGACTCTCCTACAAAACTCTTAAGCTGAACTCAGACATGCTGTATATTGGTTGTTATCGTTTGTATATAACTTTAGACACCACTGGTGTGTGTCTCAGTAGTTGGGAAATTGGGTGATAGATTAGTCAACTAACAAAACATATTAGTATTATCCATTGCATCTGAGAGAGCCCAATTTTATCTGGTTCTTGCAACCGGGGTTGGCTGGTCTGATGACGAATGATTTGAGGGTCGAAGCAAATCCTAGGAATATGAAGGAAACACGCTTACAATATCTGAAATTGAGTTTCACTTTCATCCTTGAGCTCTGTTACTTTGATATTTAGGGATGTCTGAAATTCTGAATGACTAACACTACAGTTCAAGCAACCTATATAATAATGGTATAAGAATCGAAGGCTCTACTCAAAGAATATATATTGTTGGCCCTTCTTTGGCGTGTTATCTTTCTTTATCTTCTTTATACTTTATAGAGCAAAAGAAGAGGGGGAGAGAGAGATAGTGATGGATATGGTGCTCTCTCTGAGTTTGACTAACAAACAATACATTATATAAACATAAGTGTAAGATTCCCCTAACTTTGCTTTTGGCAAGAGGGAGGCATCATTCTTTCGGTGCTTAATTATGTCTGAGATCATATGGTTTGTGGCCGCTTCTGTATCTTTTTCCCCTTAATGGCAATGCATCATATCATAAGAAGGCTACCAAAAGTGGTTTGGCGTCATAATCACGTGATGAAAGGGTTATTTGATCTTGATTGATCTAATCTGATCTCTATGTTATTAATTTATCTCTCTTGTTACTTGTGATGTAGGGAGTCGTAGCCATTATAGTTAGCAGGTGGGTTGGTGTTGGCAGCAACAGAGCAGAGAATGAGAGTTGAGAAAGGAATCTCTGCTCTCTTGGTCTGGCGTTTTCCTTTTGTTATTTGCTTACTACTACTTTCTGCTACTAGTAGTTTGGAGGTTGCCGTGGAGGAGAAGCAGACAGCGGAGAAAGGAGAGCAGAGTTTTGGATTCTGAAAAGGGGAATCCCAGAAGAGGCTCCTTCCCTTGTCTATCCCTCTCCTCCAGCCAATGTAGAATAGAATTATGAATGAGGACTTTAAAGAAAGTTCACATTCTATTCTGTATATTAGAGAAAAGAAAATGGAAAGCCACAAAAAAAAAAAAAAAAAAAATTATTTGCAGAGTGGAGAAAACTAGTTTGTGAATGATGATGTTGTATATAATGCCCACCAGCTAAAAAGGCAAAGTGGGTTGCAGCCTGTGTTGTTTGTTGGTAATGGGAGCAATGGGAGAATGCCTCATTCTCAGTACTGTGTCTTCCTTTGTGGGGTTCTGTATGGGGATGTCAATTAAGTTTTTATACAGATGAATTGGAACATGCGCCTCTCAGAAGATTGAAGGTCTTGTTTTGTTTTGCTTTCTCAGAAATTATGAAGCTTTATGTTTATCAGTTCATGTTCATGTTTATGTTTACAGGAAATGCAGTAGCAGATCCTTGACCCAAAACACACCATGTACTGTATATCCAAAGGGCAGAGAGATTCATTCACTCTATTGAAATCTCCGGACAAAGTTGTTAACAGGTGTGAATTTTACAGGGTGGGAATGCGGTGTTGATTGATATGGACGGGAATTATACATATCCGACGACGGCGGACAAAAACCACTAGCTAAATTCCGATGGAGGACGTTGGTTCACTTCGATTCGATTCAATTCAATTGAAGGGGATAAGAACATCGCCGATGTTCTTGTGCCACGGATCCGCCAAGTGAGTCGCCAAGTTCTCCAGCGGGCCGGTCCCCGGGTACGCCGACTGCTGCACGCAGAACCCGACGAACGCCAGCAACGCCAGCCGGCCGTTCTTGATCTCCTTGAGCTTGTACTCCTCGAACTTCTTCGGGTCCTTGGAGAAGCCGAGCGGGTCGAACGCGCCGCCGGGGTACTTCTTCTTCTCCGGGTCCTTCTCCATGCTCCGCTGGTGCTCCACGAACGCGATTGACAGGAACTCGATCACCAGTATGGTCGGCAGGGTTCCCCACGGAACCGGCTGGCCCAAGTAGCTGGCCTGACCGCCCGGCACCGCCGCCCACGACTGGGCCTGCACCCAGTTCCCCAGGCCCAACGCCTCCGGGACCAGAATCCCCGGGACGGCGAGCATGGCCCATCGGCAGTGGATCAGCTCCGACTCCTTGAACCGCTCCAGGTTCTCCGGGACCGTACCCAGACCTAGCGGGTCGAACCCGAAGTCACTGCATAAATCAATTTTATCCACAATCAATCAAAATTCAGAGGTAATTGTAATTCAAATTCAAACCTTTCTGGTTGGGTTTTGGGTTTCAGTTTCAAACTACCCGGGGGCAGAGCCGTCGAGGTGGGCGGGCCGGGGCTGGCCGGGCATCCATTCGGCGGACATGACGACCCGGCCGGAAGAGGCGATGGCCGGGAGGGGGACGGAGGAGGCGAATTTGGACCTGGAGGAAGAGAGGAGAGACGGGAAGGCGATGGCGAGGCCGCCGCTGCTCATCGCTGAGTTTGCCGCCATTGTTCCCGGTCGAAACGAAGGATTGAAAGAAATGAGAAAGGGAACAGAGAGAATGAATGGACTTTGAGTGGCTGATACAAAGGGGTCGTGAGAGTTTATGAATGAGAATGGGTAGAAGATGGGATGGACAAGGCAGAAGAATCTGGAGATGGATTCGCATTGGCTTGAGAAAGCTTCCAGGGGATACATTATTGGGCCACGTCGGATTTCCCATATCTCCGCTTCGCTTCGGATTGCGTACGTGGCGTTCCCCGTTCTTATTTGTGGTCGAGCTTCGTTGTCGCCATTGCTGCTCCCTCCACTCGGATAAAATAAAAAAATCTAGCTCTCCCTCCCTGTGAGTGTGACGATAGAGAATCCTCGATGCGGATAAACTGGGACAACATAAAAAATGTAGGTGATCATTTTGTTGAAATTTAAAATTAAGTGACCGATTTGTTAGTCATTCCAATGTAAGTGACCTTTAATGCAATTATGCTATTAACCGGAAAATATTGGGGCAATGTTCTTGGAAAGTACTTGACTTTTGATCCCTCCACGCGTTTCCTTCTTTCTTTTTACTTTCTGCGCACCGAAGGAAAACAAATTATCACCGCAACCTCCGTCTTTCTTCCTCAGCTCTGCCCGCCATTGCTGATTCAGTTCGGCTTTCACTTCTCCCAATTAGTTTGGAAAATTCAATTCGTACAACTCTGATAGCAGCAGCTAGGATAAAAGATGCAGAGAATCTTCGGCGCTAAGAAGAACAAGGATCCTCCTCCTTCCATCTCCGATGCCTCCGATAAGGTTCTCTCTCGCTTTCACCTGCTCGCTGTTTCTATGATGTTTTGTTATTGGGTTTATGTTTTGGTGTCCAGAATTGAATTGCGTTGAACTTGCGAGCTGCAATTCGAGTTTAGCCCTGTGTTGAAGAATTTAGAAGTCTTGCTCCGATAGTTCAGATGGATTTAGGGTTCATGGAATCTGTTATTTCAATGTGACTGATCCAGTCTTGAAATTCGATTATTGTGTGGTGATCTATCCTCCATCTCCTGTGCGGCAAAATGCCGCTTCTATGGAGCAAAGGCCTGGACTTTGTGGGCGAATGTGAAGAATTTTCGTTTCTTTAAATTGGAAAGGAAGTATCTCATTGAGAGGTTTCTCTGCGGAAGTGGTTTTGGCATAAATACCCGATCTTTATGATGGATTGTCATGTTTGCTTGCATAATCATTGTGGAATTGGGAGTTAACCTGGATAGCGTTTCCTCTCTCAGATTACTAAAAGGGGCGACACTGTGGAAGAGAAGATTAAAAAGCTGGACGTTGAGCTCAGCAAATACAAAGAACAGATTAAGAAAACACGACCTGGACCTGCTCAGGAGGCCATTAAAGCACGTGCCATGAGGGTTCTTAAACAGAAGCGCATGTAAGACCTACTGCTGTTACTTTTCTTTTCTTATGCTTCTATGTAGAGCAAGGCAGCAATGTTGACATTTGAGATTGATACTGAGTTCAGCATTTCTGTTTCCATGGGTTTGAGAATCGCACCATCTGCTATCGAACTTCTTATTCGACATCAATGTTTTATGACTTCGCATGGCTGTACTATTTGCTTCAATGATGCTTATTTATGACATGTACAAATGTCTTGGACAGGTATGAGGGTCAGCGTGACATGCTCTACAACCAGACTTTTAACCTGGATCAAGTTGCTTTTGCTGCTGAGGGTATTAAAGATGCTCAACAAACTGTATGGCTCGGTTCCCATGAAAGAATATGAGATTTGAAAAATTATGAGTTGATTTTCAATGCTCTTATAGCACTCTGAGATTATGTTAAGGCTTGCAACTCCTCTTGAAGGACTATTTACTTAAAATAGTGACTCACTCTGTTTTGTATCCTGTGCATCTTTTGGTTTCTTCTCTTCAGATGTCAGCTCTGAAGTCTGCCAACAAAGAGTTGAAAGGGATGATGAAAACTGTTAAGATTCAAGATATAGATGTATGTTGCCTAAAATTCTTCCGTTGCTCTTATTATTGTACTGGTTGTTAGATATTCTGTTAGCATAACTGGCTGATCTCTTTCTATGTAGAACTTGCAAGATGAGATGATGGACCTGATGGATGTTAGTAATGAAATCCAAGAAACTCTGGGTAGAAGTTATAACGTGCCTGATGACATTGATGAGGATGAACTCATGGGTGGTAAGCCAAATGTTTAGAGCTGTTGGACAGTACTAAGTTCTACCTTTCTGTCTTCTCTGAACTACTTTTAGGTCACTCTATAAAATGTTAATCCTTGCTATGTCCTCTGATTCAGTATGTTTTCGAGATTCAGGCAGACTAGTATAAACAGACTACCATAAGCAAACTAGTAGCATATGGGGTGGGTCGTCTAATGCAGAGAGAATAAGTCAGAGACTTGATACTGAGCAAATTTTTTTTTTTTCGTTTTGACTTATTCTTTTATCGCAGAACTTGATGCTCTGGAGGCAGACATGGGATTTGAAACCGAAGGTGATGGCGTGCCATCGTATTTGCAGCCTGACAAGGAACCAGATCTGGATTCAGAACTCAACCTGCCTACGGCACCTATGGGACATGCTGCTAGACCCCAGGTGATAATATATGAGGTCTTATAGCTTCTTCTAATCCATTCCTGAGCATCGCGTAAGCAGTGTTTGGATGGAGATGGGTGCCTGATCCAGTCGGTTGGTAATCCCTTGCATGCATATAATAACATTGGCTCACTGGTTTGCAAGTCCATTTCCATTAGCTTCTCTATCTACTTTGGAAGGAAGTCAGCCAAGCTCTGGAGTTGTTTGACACTGATGGTCATGTGGATCTGAACTAACCAAATAATCCGTGCATTCCATGAGGCTGCTTGCTGACTCTCCTTTCTTTGTGTGTACTTTTCCTGCCAATAATTCCTGCATTCCATTTGTTTGGCAGGCTGAGGATGAATTTTCACTACCAGCTGTTCCACGGGCATCCCTTCGTGGCTAATGCAGTAGTAGTCTGTACTTACTACCCTTGTGCATAATCAAATTGGAGAGAGAATCGGCCTTGGAAGGGAAGGGAAGGGAAGGTTATTATTATCATCAAACACAATGTGCAGAATAACATATCATTCTTAACTGGGTGTGCTTGGTGGTGATTGAGAGGGATGGCTTATGTTTGGCAGAGTTCTTCGGTCTTCCTTTTTTTGTTTTTTTTTATAAAGGACAAACTGCTCTACCATGGACATCAGAGGCGTAGTTATATGTAACGTTCTGTGATTGTGAATGGCATTGACATACAAGGGCGTAATTATCATCTTTTTTAGACTTGTAATATTACTACTCTTTTTCTTTTATCAATGAGATAACATTGTTCACTTTCATGTTGAACTAAATCTAAATACAAAGAGTCGTAGTTTCAATCTGGAACCCTTCAGTTATATAAAAGAAAAAAAGGGGTATACAATACACGATGTATACTTTTGAGAAATGTAGAGACTATGATTCAGTAGATGTGTTGTGTGCATCATCACGCGGACGGAGGCAATCAACGGTTCTGTTAAATTTGCTTCTGGTTTCATGAAGTTCACCATCTGCAAGCCGCCGATGCTATCGGACTCTCCGGCCTGAGATATGGAGGAAGGTGGGATGTTGAGCACCATCTTCAGTTTCACTAATGTAAGCATACCAGTATCAGAGAAGAGAACATTTATGAAACTTTTTTAAGAGTTGGATCAGAATGAGAATTGCGAGAAAATGCAGGTACTCTGATGGTATATTTGGTTTGGGGATCTAGGGATTTGGATTTTGTCAACACGTAGCTGAGAGAGAGGGGGTAAAACTCAACTCGAAGTAAGCAAAGACGGAAACCAATTCAGCAGATCATCCTTCCAAATTAGTCCACCCGAAGTCACGGTCAGTAGCCGAACTGTTTTCTGCATATCTCATCAACCAGGATATGGCGAATGAGCTGGACGGCTTCCACTTCGAGCAGAACCACGGCAAGGCGAGGGTGAGGGTCGCCAGAGTCTGGCGGGCCGATGGCGGCGGCGATCACTCCATGGTGGAATGGAGCGTCAACATCACCCTTTTTTCCGACTGCATCAACGCTTACGTTCGTGACGACAACTCCGACATCGTCGCCACTGACACCATGAAAAACACCGTAATTGACTTCACACCCTCTACTTGATTTACCCTTTTGTTTCACCTCCGATTCGGGATCGTTGAGATGAATTGAAATCCCTTTTCTGTTTCCCCCTTCACCACTAGGGATGCATTCACTCATATGTTTGAGATTCCTAGATTTGGAGCTAGGGATTTTGTTTCAGTTCTTATCTGGATATCTGATGGTTCAATCAAACAGTAACCCTTGTGTAGTTGAAGATAAAATGTATGCCATTTGGGAAATTCAGTTGACTTGGGAAGTGGCAAGAGTTCATTTATGTAGTCAGCAGCTTGGCTAATCCTGTTTGCCGTGTCTTGTTCACTTTCCTATTCCCTGCGTTGTGGAAATGGTGTGTAGGTGTATGTGAAAGCGAAAGAGTGTTCCCAACAGCTTTCAGCAGAGGAGTTCGCAATTTTGCTTGCGAAGCACTTCACAGCGTTCTACCCGCAGGTAAAAAGTTTTAAGAGATTTCGGAGATTGCCTTAACTTTGTGAAGTACCCATTTGACTTATGTACCTGGTAGTTTGTTTCTTCTTGATTTCTGTTGGAGATTCGTTGTAACCAATGTGGAAGGAGAAGCATAGTTTGGAGGTGAAATTTTGTTTGAGAAGGAGTGGAAATAGTTTGGGGTTATTTTCTGGGTGGGTTCCTTTTGGGTTTTGTAGTGGACAGTAGTCACATTCAGCATGAGGTTAGAACAAGACTTATGTACCTGGTAGTTTGTTTCTTCTTGATTTCTGTTGGAGATTCGTTGTAACCAATGTGGAAGGAGAAGTATAGTTTGGAGGTGAAATTTTGTTTGAGAAGGAGTGGAAATAGTTTGGGGTTATTTTCTGGGTGGGTTCCTTTTGGGTTTTGTAGTGGACAGTAGTCACATTCAGCATGAGGTTAGAACAAGATTTTGAATGTGGTCCATCCTCTTCAATAGTTTTGTGTTGAGGTTCCGGCACTGCTGAATCAAGTTCGCACTGAAAAATTGGTTCTTGGGTCTGAACTGAAAAATTGTCTCAAGTAGTTGACAGGTGACTTTTATTTATGCCCCCATGGGACATGTTTCTGGTCCTACTAATGTTAATGGGTTGGCCATTTTCAAATTGTGATGCAGCTGTTGTCATTTTCTTTCCAGTTCTTATCTTATGAATCATGCCCCGTTTTCTGATCAATAACTAGTTTGTATTGCAAAATTTGTTAGGTAACATCAGCAATTGTCAAGATAGTGGAGAAGCCATGGGAGCGCATCAACTTAAATGGGCAACCACATGAACATGGTATAGTACTGAAGTTTGTTGAGTAGAATAGTGTGCGAATTTCTAAATTCTTTTTTGTGAACCAGCTAAGTTTATGGTGGTCTGCTATCCTTCCATTGCATCTTGTTGTCTTAAACAAACATTTACATGCTTGTTGCAAACTAGCGAAATATGCACACCTTATATTTGTCAGCATGCTGGTTAAAAGAGCTGCTAATATGCTGTTATGTTGTCAAAGGTTTTAAACTTGGAAATGAGAAACATACAACAGAGGCCGTAGTCAAGAAGTCTGGTGGGTTGAAGTTGACTTCTGGAATTGCAGGACTGTCTGTACTGAAAACTACCCAGGTATTGTTTTGTGCTTTTCACTCTTTTCAGCTGTTGCAATTGAGCCCTGGAATCCGTGCAATCACAATGCAATCGTAAACTGAAAACACACTATTCAGTAACATTCAACCGAAGCATATGCATGTAAGATTTGTCTGACTTAGCAATTATGTCTCTTAGATCCAATTTCATGGGGTAGGTAGTCCCAAATTCCTCTCTTCCAGGTTGAACAAACGAGGGCTTCTTTAGCCTTCCTTAGCTTGCTCCTGCTTTGATTCTCTACATGTGTCCATTCGTTTCCATCAGTTATGCAATCTTTGTGTTGTTGATTGCTTGATTTTATGTGACTGAAAGAACAGTCAGGTTTTGAAGGGTTTGTCAGGGACCAGTATACTGCTCTTCCTGAAACCCGTGAGAGGATGCTGGCCACTGAAGTCACTGCCATATGGAGGTGAATTTTGAGATTGTTAACTGTGGTATGTTTGCTTTTATTCGTTGGAAGCTTCTTCTTAGTTCTTTCTGGATCAAATGTGGATGCAGATATTCGTACGACTCCATCTCCAAAGTCCCTCAGAAACCCCTTTACTTCAATGAGAGATATTTGGATGTGAAGAATGTAGTTCTCAGCACATTTTTTGGTCCTCCCAAGGGCGGAGTATATAGTGCTTCCGTTCAAAGCACTCTTTTCCAAATAGAGAAGGCCGTACTGATAAGGTTCTCTCTACTCTCCAATGCTTTTACTGGTTTCAGTTAGGAAGTTCAGTGATATGGTACTCTAAAGTTTCCCTGAGAATCATTTTGTGTTTTTCTGGTCGTATGCAGATTCCCTGACATATCATCTGTCCAACTGAAAATGCCAAACATCCACTTCTTACCCGTCAATATTTCAACCAAGGACAACACGATTGTGAAGGTAAAGATCCTCTTCCTCTTAAAAGCTATTTCTGATGCTTCAGAAATAGGCTGTTGCACTTGGTTGGTCGTGTTGGAACTTGTTTCCCCCGTTGATTGATTATAGAGAAAATTCATGGACTTGAATTCTTCACCAATATGTAGCTCCCATCTGCACTTTCTTCCTGGAATTTTGACCATGGAATCGTAGTATCTGCAGCCTACAGTTTTCCTTGTTAGGATGATGATCTTAAACTTTATTTATGGCAGTTCAACGATGACGTGTTTCTGCCAACTGACGAGCCTCATGGATCAATAGAAGCAACTCTCAGTCGCTTCTGGGCAAGAATGTAGAACAAGGAGAAGAAGAAGATACAGCAAGAGGGATCATGTTGTGAGTTTCTGACTTTTGCTTTCACGCCATGTAATAAGCTGCAATGCAGGACCAAATGTAAATTACAGTGTGCATTAGACAATAATAATGTGACAGAAACCGGACACATTACTATTACATGGCGAGTCTCCCTGCCTCCGTCCCTCGGTTAACTCTCATCATACTGATTGATAGTCTAGAAAACAAAGGGGATGATACACTTGACATGAGGAGGGAAATCATCGAACTTGGAGAGGTACCACTCTCTGGTTGCTTTGCTCCTTCCCATCAGGTAGAGACTTGTCCCGACTGCGACGCAGAAGGAATAGATGGTCTGCGAGATGAGGGCGATACCGTAGAAACCCAGGATCTCAAACAGATAATGAGGGCAAATCACCAGCTCAAACATCCCACCCTTGGGGATCTTGTACTCTTTCTTCTTGCCGTCATCGCCGGACGATCTCAGCTTGGAGAGCAAGTAACGGTGGTAGAAATTGCCTGTGATTCCAACGAGGAAGAGCACGATTCCATAGAGCTTCAAATCCACCGCTGGATCTGGGAGCAGAGCCTCCTGCGTCAAAAGCTGGGTGTAGATTGTGAGGGCTGTAACGGTGAAGTAGCTTAGACTGATCGGAATCGCTGTTCCGGCGGCCACTGTACCACTGAACTTGTGTACGAACAGTGTCTACAATCAAGGAATAGAAATCATCAACTTTCCGATCTTGATAATTGGACTCCACTGAATTGAATTGGAACTGTGAGTGCGTTTGTACCTCGAGTACCCTTTTGAAGAAATGCAAGGCGAGGGCGGACTCAACGAGGAGGAGCCTGGAAGATGAAGCCCCGTTTCCGCCATGGTTATGATGGAGAAAGAGCAGGGAGGCAAAGGCGGCGAGGAAGGCCGGTGTGTAGGCCACAAGCATCCCGGCTCTGCTGGGGATGGAGGACCAGGACGAATTCGCCGTCGAAGTAGAAGCGGACGGTTGGTCGGAGAACTTGGAGTACTTCATGTGCTTGCCTCGGAGCTCCGACACACCGGCGTTCCCCAGCGACACTACTCCCACCACCGACATCGCCGCGACCAGCAGCGACGGCGGCGGTTGGAACATTACCGCTCTCACCAAACTCATCACCCCCTCCATTTCTATCCCAATTCCGGTTTCGATTTTCTTCCCAATTATGAAACCACGGCTCTACTGAGTAGTCGTACTGATCGCTCTGCTTTTTCCTCTGCTTTTTATTTTCTCCGCTTTTCCTGTTCTCCAACTCCAAGGGCTTTGTTTCTGGGCTGTCTAGTAAAGCAGTCGTTTGGAAGCCCAATTATGGGGAAACTTGACATTATGGACCGCGAACAAAGGCCCATCAGAATGCGGCCCAAGTAATATCATGGTCCAGTCGCCACTCGCTTGAACCAAGGCAAAACTGTAGTGGTCTTAAAAGAGAGGACGAAACGGGTACCGGGAAAGTAAAAACGGCTGAAAATTGCGAAGGGCCGCCGGCGCTGTTACCGGAGGAGAAGCTGCCGAATCAAATCTGATTGAAGTCTCGGAGTCGAGGAACTGGAATAGAGACAGATAGCTACCTCCGGAATCTGAAATCGGGCTCTGCGGCTGCTACTGGATCGTGGCACTTCAGATGATAAAGTTGTAATTGCCTGCACTGTGAATTCTACTGAAACTTGGAAAACTTTCTGAAACAGGAAGCAGGAAGCTTTTCTTCAAGCCATCGATTAGAAGGGGAATCAGAGAGAAATGGAGTCCAAGCGAAGCTCCAAGTTGAATATCGCCATTCTTCACCCTGACCTTGGAATAGGTAAAAGCAATATATTGCGGTTTAAGCCCTTTCCATCTACTGTCCTTTCGTTTGATATTTTTGAGGGATTGTTATCACCCTCGTCATTGAGTAGGTAAAAGACTGGGTTTTCCTTCAGTATTCGTGGTTGCGCACGTATGCAAGCTGTTTTTTTCCTTCTATACTGCCAGTGCATTATGCTTCAACTTGAAGTTTCATGGTATTTGATGTTGAACTTGTTTCTTCGATCATCATTGTATTGAAGGTGGAGCTGAGAGGTTGGTTGTCGATGCTGCTGTTGAACTTGCATCCCAAGATCACAAGGTTCATGTTTTTACAGCTCACCATGACAGGAACAGATGCTTCGAGGAAACTGTTGCAGGTAATTGTGATATCTAGCTTCTACTACCCCTTTTGTTCTGTTCTCCTTCCTGAAGTGGGATTATGTTGATAGACCAGTAAGTGGCCATTTCAAAGCTCTTTTGCAGTTTACTGCCTCTTTTGCTTTGTTTGTTTTGGTGGAAGGGCTTCTTTGGTTTTGCCTTGACAAGAAAGGAAAAGTTGCTCAACTTCTGATTTTTCTGTGTTTGGAAGATTGGGGTATTGTGTTCAGCCTATGGCTTGATGTTGATGTAATGCTTGCCAATTGACTTTACAGGCACCTTTCCAGTTACTGTCTATGGTTCCTTTCTTCCCCGTCATATATTCTACCGGTTTCATGCTTTATGTGCATACTTGAGGTGCCTCTTCGTCGCTCTTGGAATGCTGTTCCTTTGGCCATCTTTCGATGTTGTAGTGGCGGATCAAGTTTCTGTTGTTATACCTTTGTTGAAACTCAAAAGAGCAACGAAGGTATGTATCGGTTACACAGTGAAACCGTTAGCTTCATCTCAGAGATCCCTAGTATGTAGCTTTTCACGCATGTTCTTGTTATACCCAGGTGGTGTTTTATTGTCATTTTCCAGACCTCTTGCTGGCTCAACACACAACGGCACTCCGAAGACTATATAGAAAACCTATTGACTTCTTAGAAGAAGTTACTACTGGTGTGTGTCTGCAATTTTACTTTTTCTGTTCCTGTTCCAACTCATTCATGGCATGGATTCTCCTTCCTTGATCTTCTGTGTTAAATCATTGACAAACCATTCTCCATTTGGATTGCAGGAATGGCAGAAGTGATACTAGTCAATAGCAAATTCACTGCATCGACTTTTGCTCGGACATTTAAGCATCTTCATACACGGGGAATTCAGCCTGCTGTTTTATATCCAGCTGTCAATGTGGAACAGTTTGAAGAACCTCATTCTTTCAAGTAACTGACGTGCTTGTCTATCTTTCGAGTATTTCCAGGACTTCAATATTTCACTTCATAAAGTTTTCTCCTAAACATTTATATGGCTTGATGTTCATTTGCATTGATGTGAAATAGGTTGAATTTTCTATCCATCAACCGTTTTGAAAGGAAGAAGAACATAGAATTAGCCATTTCTGCTTTTGCCAAGCTCCAAAGCCTTGGGGATGCTTCCTTGACTGTTGCAGGTAAGTCTGTCCATATTTGTTTCTCAATTGATGAACTTACCTTCTTTTGGCAGTAGAACGTGAATTATTAGACAATCTGTTGTACATGGTAGGGAATTGAGGAATTCTGTTATAAACCATCACAGGCGGATATGACAAGCGATTGAGAGAGAATGTTGAATACTTGGAGGAGCTTAGAAGACTAGCAGAAAGAGAAGGAGTGTCTGACCGTGTTAACTTTGTGACATCTTGTTCCACCACCGAAAGAAATAATCTTCTCTCAGACTGTCTCTGTGTTATCTATACACCAAAGGTTGGATTCAATCCAGACGTTGATGACACATTGTTTCCCCCCTTCTCTGTTTTCTGGTTCTAATATTTTGGTGATAATGAGCAGGACGAACACTTCGGCATTGTCCCAATTGAGGCGATGGCAGCTCATAAACCTGTCATTGCATGCAACAGTGGAGGCCCAGTCGAATCCATCAACGATGGAGTTACAGGATTTCTCTGTGATCCATTTCCGCATGCGTTTTCGCAAGCCATGGCCAAATTCCTCGACGATCCAGAGCTCGCAAAGAGTATGGGACAAGACGCCAGGCAACACGTGTCAGATTCATTCTCTACTCGGATTTTTGGGCAGCGCCTGAATCAATACGTTACCAGCATTGCTGGCACTAAGCAAGATTGAACTTCAACTTTTGTTGCATACTTGGATGAGCTTAATACCAACAGCATGATTTTGCAATTTTGTTCTCAGCCCGGCGCCCATGGTGGTGGTGTTCTTGAACTCCATACTTCCAATTCTAGTTCGAGCTTATACAACAAAAAATACAACCTTTATTTATTGTTCATAACTCGACATTTACTGAAAAGAAAAACAGAAGGAAGACACATAACCAGGTTGTTGATGATGTGGCGAGGTTTGCAGTTGAGTAATTATTAGGTTAAATGTGAGATTATCATGTAATTTCACTCATACAAGTAAAGAACTAAAAATCCCACTAATCTCTTTCAGTGTTACTACACATGTATGATGTATGTACACTCTCTTCACCCATATGCGGCAGAAAACGCAAGTTTGGGTACCAAAATTCCATGTTATACAAGGGTTTTAAGTGTTTTACTCATTCAACTTGCAAATGTCCACAAACTTCTGAACAGCATTGTGGTATTGGGTTCCCTGCAATTGCAACCAGCACCATTTTATTAGGGAGTTGCTAAAGGTCGCCCTTAAAATTGCTAAAGGTCGCCCTAAAAAGAATAAAAGTTACACTTTTAACCCCCATAGCTTCTTTACCTTCCCTTCCTCAAACAAACATCACTTGGACTAAAAAAACACTCTCTAAGGAGAGAAAAATCTCTCATCGTCATTTTGAAGCCGATATCGTCGATAGGACGTCTGAATCATGAGTAGCGATTCCGACGAGGTAAGAACATGAACCAAAAAAAAAAAAACACAGAAAATGGGAACCGCGGGTGATTTGCGGTCCGACCATGGTCCAACCGCAAGTGACCTGCGGTTGGACCATGGCCGGACCGCAAATCACCTGCGGTTGAGCCATTGGTGGACCGCACTTGACCTGCGGTTGGACCATGGTCGGACCGCAAATCACCTGCGGTTCAGCCATGGTCCAACCGCAGGTCAATTGCGGTCCACCAATGGCTCAACCGCAGGTGATTTGCGGTCCGACCATGGTCAAACCGCAGGTCACTTGCGGTTGGCCATTTTTTGGTTTTTTTTTTTTTTTCGTTGAATAATTTTTTATTTTTTATATGATTTATGATTGTTCCATGAAATAATTTGTTGGGTTTTGATTTATATAATTTATTAGATTTATTTGCATAATTATTTTTGGAATTGAAGGATTTAGCATTAGAAATTAAGATTAGATTTTTGGAATTGAAGGATTTAGCATTAGAAATTAAGATTAGATTTGGCCTTAAATTAAGATTAGATTTAATTTGGTGTTAATCTAGAAAATTAAGATTAGATTTTGCATTACAAATTAAGATTAATATAATTTATTAGATTTATTGGGTTTTGATTAGATTTTTGGAATTGAAGGATTTAGCATTAGAAATTAAGATTAGATTTGGCCTTAAATTAAGATTAGATTTAATTTGGTGTTAATCTAGAAAATTAAGATTAGATTTTGCATTACAAATTAAGATTAAATTTATTGCATAAATAATAGATTCGCATATGAAGTTATGATGATTATTAATTTTAATACTGATAACATTGCAGGATATTGGAAGTTACAATCCGGATGACCATGATTACACCTCGGATTTCATTGATGGCGTGAAATACACTACGGAGTTGCAAGCATATGAAGCAGCCATTGAGATTGCAAAGGGTTTTGGGTTTTATTTGGTGAGGGCATCGAACAAAAAAAATACGAATGAAGGTACTTGGCGACATTACTTACATTGCACTCATGGTAGGAAGAAGAAGTCGAAGGAACCTGATCCGAGTAAAGAAACGAGGCCTCTTACATCTACTGAAAAGTTGGGGTGCGAGTTTAAGATCAAGCTTGAGCGGTCAGGTGATGGATATTGGTTGATCCTAGGGGTGGCAAATACAAAGAATCCTGGTGCTAATTTGGGTTTCCACAATCATCAGTTGGAGCTATTTCCGGAGGGATCAAAGGGAAGGAATGTTTTGACTACAGAGGACAAGCAATACATCAGAGAGCTGAGATCAGCCGGTGTCCCACCAAGGAATATCCACAAGGCAGTGAATGACAGAAAAGGTGCAAATGGAACACACAACAGAAAGCAGATTTATAACGAGTGTCACAAGATAAGGAAAGAAGAGCTTGGTCAGATGACAGCCTTACAGTATACTTTCCACATGGCGCAGGAGAAGGGTTACTATGTGCAGTATATGGACGATCGTAACGTGCTTACACACTTGTTCCTAGCCCACCCCGAGTCAATATTGATGTTGCGAGCTTGGCACCATGTGATCGTGATAGATGCAACATACAAGACCAACAAGTATGATATGCCTTGGGTTGAGATTGTCGGCATGACACCAGTGGGATTGAACTTTGTCATTGCATCTGCAATAGTGTACGACGAGACGAAGGAGTCGTACCAGTGGCTTCTGACGCATTTGCAACATCTTCTTGGCCCCATTGTTCCAGATGTGTTTGTCAGTGACAAGGCAGGAGGATTGGTTGAGACCGTGGGGGTAATGTTTCCATCATCGACTCATATTTTATGTCTTTGGCATATGGATAGGAATGTGAGAGCAAAGTGTCTAACGGAGGTGCGAAGGACGACTCATTGTGGTATAGATGCAGCCAAACCGACAGTGGAGCAGATCATGGCGTCTTGGCAACGTGCTGTATATGCATTGACAGTGGAAGACATGGATACTGCCTTAGAGAATTTCAGACGTAGCTGGGGAGTACAGTACCGACGTCTTTGGGGGTATATGACAGCTGAGTGGTTACCAGTTAGACACATGTGGGCTAAATGTTATACCAATCAACTGCGGCATTTGGGTAACACAAGCTCTAATAGGGTTGAAGCTGCCCATTCCTCCTTCAAGAAGTGGCTTCAATCATCTACTGGCGCAGTCGACACGGTTAGTAATCTAATAAATCTTTATTGATACACACATAAGTTTTAGTAGTCTCCTAATTGTTCTTCATTGTTTGTAGGTATACAAGAAGAACGATGATTACATTGAGGCTCAACACCTTCAAATCAGGAAGCTGCTGGAGGATTCCCGACAAAAGAAGCTGCTCCGAGCGGATGGAAAACCATTTCGAGAGTTGAATACGAAAGTCACTCTAGAAGCTCTGAGGTTGATGTTGTTCGAGGTAGCAGTGGAAGGGGAACCTTGTACATGTACGTTTCTTCCTACCTATGGTCTCCCATGTAGATGTTCCATTCAGTTAGCACGACGTGAAAATCGGGATTTCGCCTTGTATGATGTGTTGCCATTCTGGACCGTTATCAACTATCGTGAACCTCCTACTCGGCCGGAGTGGGATGACCATAGTGATTACCACCGTGGTGTGTTCCAAGGTCTAGTACAGGAGGTTCTTGATAGAGGCGACGAGACCATTCGAGGTGCAATCGGCCTACTCCGGAGCCATCTTCATCCTGAAAATGATGGCATTGATGAACCGCATGGGGGACAGCCCCGCCCCGGTCGCCCAAGGACGTCCACCACTCGAAACCTGTCTCACTTCGAGCATGTGGAGAGGAGACGAGGGAGGAGAAGTTCAAGACTTCCGACTGCAACTCCGGACAATGATGGAAATACAGGTAGATTAACTTTTTCTTTTAGTTGTGTTCAATTGTCCTCAATATGGTGTACAACTAATCTATTTTTTTTAAATGAGATAGGTGGTGCCCCGAATGTGAATGCACAAACCAACTTCGAGGATGAGACGGAGCCGATCCATAATGATACAGGTTAGAAATTATATTCCTAATTTCGGGTAAACATATAGTGTAACTCTTTGTATTAATTTATCGTGTTATGCTCTTTGGCTAGATGGTGCACCGAATGGGAATGCACAAACCAACTTCGAGAATGGGACGGAGCCGGTGATCCATAATGATACAGGTTAGAAATTATATTCCTAATTTCGGGTAAACATATAGTGTAACTCTTTGTATTAATTTATCGTGTTATGCTCTTTGGCTAGATGGTGCCCCGTGGAGGGTTGCTCGGATTCCCAATACTAGTTGGAAGAATTACCCATGGCTACATTGTTTGGAATCCTACGTGCAACGACTAGTTCGTGGTTGGTTCAACCCTATTCCAGATGGACACTGTGGATTTCGAGCTATATCACAAGCAGCTACTGGGGACCAAAGGAATTGGCCACAAATGAGACGCGCTGTTCTAGAGGAGCTTGAATCCCGTCCTGAGCTTTATAGAGCCTACTATGATGGAATAGCAAATGGAATAGAAGATGGCATTCGACGTTGCAGGTGGGCATCAACAAGTGGCTGTGGACCTTTCAACTGGATGGATAATGCGGAACTCTTCGTCTTCGCCACCTTGCATTCATGGGCCATCGTTGTATACAGTCAAGGCGGTCGTTATACCGTGCTACCTGTGACGGCCCCACCAGGAGTAACAAGACCACGTGGGATCTTATCACTACATTTTACGGGGGATCATTGGGTGCGACTTGACTTTCGACATGGTCAAGTGCCCATGCCTCCAATTAACTACCTTTGGCCTATTTATCATGACCCTAGTGTCAATGGGTGGGATCAATTCTTCTTACATGAGCGTGCGCTTTATGATAGATTGAACCCACGGGGATGAATTGTATAACTCTCTATTGTATAACTCTCTATTTACGAATTGTATAACTCTCTATTGTTGAAACATTTAGTAATCTACCATGTTGATTAACTATTTTAGCAATGCATTGAATGTAACTAAAGTAAAAAAACACACAACCGTCTCAATTAAACTACAAACGATGACAAATAAAACACACAATAGTCATAGTTCAACTACAAACGATGACAAATAAAACACACAATAGTCATAGTTCAACTACAAACGATGACAAATAAAACACACAATAGTCTCAGTTCAACTACAAACGATGACAAATAAAAACACAATCGTCTACTGAGGCGGCTGCCCTACCAACTGGTCGTACAACTCGAAAACTCCAGCTGCCATATCATAGAGCTTACCACCGTCCTCCTCCCACTTACTCCGGTCCCTCGTCTGCAACAAGGGGCCTAAACGATCCACAATCTGCTCTCTCAACTGTAAATAGAAAACAATGTTAGAATAAATAACAAATGTCCTTTATATTTGGAAAAGCAAAAGAAAGTCATAACTAACCTGATGAACTAGTAGTGGTCGAGGCTGAGGCTCCTCATCAGTGGGGTGGGTGATCCGTGGGTGCGATCTAGTCAGAAACCAGTCAACGTACTCCTCCACGATCTCCGATGGCTGCTCGCACGGCCGAGAAGCAAAATCCAACTCTAGACGACGAGCTGCCACGTTATTCCACAACTGATTCACCCACGGATCCCAAAAGACTATGTAACTGCTGCCGGAAGCCGGACGGTACTGGTCATGTGGTACCGTCATAGCAGCGGGGATAATCTGTCGGTATCCAAACTGGCGCAGACAACGTGAAGGATCGTATCCCTCAGCAATGTCAGAAAAGCGAATCCGGAGAAGAAGAAGTCTCCATGACTGGTAGTGCCTCGACTAAGAGACAACTGCCCCACAGTAGGGTGGCCGTCAGGACGCACTACATCCGCCTTCTTCTTCCTTCTAACCTTAGGTGGATTTTTTTCTTCATTTTCCTTCCTACCAGTCGCCGTAAGTCTACAAGCACGACCCTCCATTCTCTCCTTATTTCTCGCCTTAATCATATCCGGTTTACCCATTCCATGTCCAGACATCTTCAAAAAAAAGTTTGAATTATTAATAATGGAGTACATAAAGTAATTAATTTAAGATTTTCATAATTAAAATTATAAAACTAATAGTTTTAACATTTATGTTACGTTCTATGTAATAATTATTTACTTTTTAATCAAGGTAAAATTATTAATAATTAAGTAGATAAACGAATTACTTTGAAATTTTGATTATTAAAATGATAAAAACACATTTTTAATTTTTTTATAATGTTCTTTAAATTTGTTATCTTTAATTAACAATTATCGAATACGATTTTAAATTTTTTTATATTATATAACTAAATTAATATTATAACTAAATTAACATTTATCGAATACGTTATTATTAATTATCATTATAACTAAATTAGTATTTATCAATAATATAACTAAATTCTTTTATTATGTATATTTTTTAATTTTTTTTATTATTATTAACATTTATTTAACGAATAATAAAACACAGAATTTAAAAAACAGAATTAAAAAAAAAAAGGCCCGAACCGCGGTCAAACCGCGGTCAGACCGACGGTCAACCGCGGTCAACGCGCGGTTTGACCAGCGGCTGACCGCGGTCAAAGCGCGGTTTGACCATCGGTCAACCGCCCTTTGACCGCGGTCAGTCGCTGGTTGAACCGCGCGTTGACCGCGGTTGACCGTCGGTCTGACCGCGGTTTGACTGCGGTCGGCACGTTTTTTTTTTTTTTTTTACCTTCTTCTTCTCCGACGAACACGAGCGCGCGACACCTTCTTCTTCTCCGGCGGCGGCGAGCGCGAGACAGGTAAGGGGCGCGACTTCTTCTTCTCCGGCGGGCAAGGAGACTTCTTCTTCTCCGGAGGCGGCTTGCGGGCGGTGGGCGGGCGGCGGGGCGGCGCGCGCTGGCGGCGGTGGGCGGCGCGCGGGAGGCGGCTTGCTGGCGGGCTGTGGGCGGTGGGGGGGCGGCCGGAGGCGGCTTGCTGGCGGGCTGTGGGCGGTGGGGGGGCGGCCGGAGGCGGGCTGTGGGCGGCGGGGGTCGGCGGAACAGCGGCGGGGGTCGGCGGCCGGCGTCGGGGGTCGGCGGGCCAGGCGGCGGCCGGCGGGATTTGTTGCAGAGATTTTTTTTTTTTTTTTTTTTACAAAGGGTGAGAGAGGAGTTGAGGGGGGAGGGAGAATGAATTTGAATTTGAAATAAGGGCTTGTTTGTTTTGAGTGTTTGCTTAAGGGTATGTAGGTAATTTTATATTTTAGTTAGGGCGATGTTTAGCAATTCTTAGGGCGACATTTAGCGATTCAGTTTTATTATCACAGTTTCAGCTCAAACATTTGAGGACAACATGAAAAATAGAAACAACAAAGGACAGACGAAGAAGAAGCAGAAGTACCTCCCAGTACAGTTGGTTGCACTCCATGCACTGCCAAAATTCCAGATTTTTGTTAAACAAACAGTTGGGTATCTTTTGGAAACCTTTTGCTGCTTCAACTGCCTCTTCTGTTGTTAGCGGCTTTTGAATAAACTTCCCATTGCACTTGGTGCATCTTGACATCAGCTGATTTTCGTTGATCTTTAGGTTAAAGGTCTCGATCACCTGCATTTTGTTTCAGCTTTCAGATCACAGATTGTAACACCAAAGCCACAACGAGAATCATGAAGAACCACCCATTTGGCTGATTCTTGTCCAACAAACCTAATCACTAAAAGGAATTACATTTATTTCTGGACAATTGTGGTGAAGAGACACTGTTGCTGATGTTCCAATTTGATACTCCGATTTATCAGAAGATTAGTTCCTATCACTGCAAATCATGCATATGTCTACCAAGATGCTAAATCTTGTCGTACTAAATTGGACGGTGGAAACAGATTTTGAAGGTCTCTAAGTGTTGATATTCTAGAAATATATACTAATTCAAACCGCGGTAACTCGACTAAAGATTCCAGCAAACTCCTCTGTTTGGTCTCCGCAGTCATCTCAAACCTATCAATATCAACTAGTTTTAATAAATTTAGCAATAGTTCCAAACAATTCCAGAGGACAATAAGTTGCATAGGGAACTGTCTTTTACCTCCAGTAGTTGTTCATTCTTAAGAAGACTCTTCACTCTGTAAATCTGGTTCTTTATCAAATGCTGATGCCTTAATAGTTTTGCATCCCGAGTCAAAACCACTCTCTTTTCTCTGTATGCTTGATCTATTAATTCCCTGAAATTGGTAAGGAAACATTATGATACTTCAATCCAGAATGGTAAGGAGACATACAAGGAATATGCACTCATGTAAAAAGGAGGTACACAGTGAAATTACCTTGGATCTGGTTTTCTAGAACAAGGGATTGCAGCATCTATTCCCACACAACGAAGATGTTTAGCCAAACCCTCAACCTATACAAAACAGTGACATATGGGCAGAAAAAATAAACATGTGAAATTCACAGACTTGAGGTGGGTATATCTTCAAGTACAAAAATGTAATATGAGATCTATATGATCACTGAAAACTTGAAAACAAGTAATATTACTTGTTGAAAGATTAGCTAAAAACAATAAGCAAAGCCACAAATGAAACTGTTGTTTGTACCATAACATCACAAAGGAACTTGGGGTAGCCATCACCACCCTCGGACAATTCCCATGGCGTGCTCCCTTCCCAGCTACAAATATTATCATCTATCCACTTTTCTCTAGTAACTTGAGTGATCATGGAAGGTTTTCTCTTTCCTCTTTTCTTAGAGGATCTTGGTTTCCTATCAGATTCTCTCAACAGGATTTTTTCACCATATTTTCTTACTATTTTGACGAACGACTCACCCATGGGCATGGTATATATAGATCTTGTCCTGGAAAGTACTCCCTCTCCCCAAGCTATCCTTTGGAAATGTCTAGAAGAAACAGTCGCCCTAACTATTGCCAAAGCTTCATGAGTTTTAATCCTCAGATGTTTATTACATCTTTCATCTAGCTCAAGAAATGCTTTCAACCCAATATGCGGAGTATCCAGCACATTTACAACTCGAGAAGAACTTCCTGCAATGAAGCAAACTACTTTCAGATACAATTAACAACTAAGGATTTTCGGCATACTTACAAGTATTATCAAGGATAACAAACCTTTTTCTGCAACTTTTTCCTTGAAAATAGCAAAAATTTGAAGCAAACAATGTGCATCTGTAGCAGCATAGTTTTTCTGTTCCTCAGTAAGAGGTCGGGAGGACCAATCACTACATTGAAGTTCCTAATACAGGAAAGATGTCATTAACAAATCATTCATGTGCATTGTCCAGAAGAATAAAGTATCAAACCCTCAATGTTGTAAATTGTAGAAATGTTGACGTCAAACCCCTTAAAAAGAAGGAATTTAGAAAATTCGGACAAAGAGTAATGGATCTAGGATATAAGAGCAAAAGTACCATATTATTAGCATATCTTGGAAAATTCTATTGACTTGGAAATTTTGTGTACTTGCAGTATTTGAAGTAATAATTAGCAAAGCTGATACATTAATCTTCTTACACGAGTACGTGACAATATAATATATTCACATCCAACATGAAAGTAATACTCACTCCAAAATATGCTGAAGAGACCCCATATGCAATGTCAATGGATTTGTTTTCTGAGGAAACTTTAGAAGAAAATAGGTTTCAATAGAATACCTTAGAAAGGGCAATCCCCAGTATTTCTTTGCATATAGTTGCCAAACTCTTCGTTTCCTTTGGCACCTTTCTTCCTTGTTGCTTTGGCTGTAGATAATGATAAACACTGAAGATATCCAAATATGGCTCCACCTGTTCACCATGACCCAATGTTCAGCAACGGAAACAAATACTACCGTTAAAAAACGCTAGAGAAACAAGTCTATGATCCCTGGAGTCATCCCTAGATAAAAATATAAATGGTGCCAAATTGGCTGAGAAATGTGTGATCCAGCTGCAACTATAAGGAGCATGATTTCATGGACAATAACAAAAGTTCGGGCCTTACAATTTCAAATACATAAAAACTATCCTTCAGCAAACCATCGATCACAGCGATTACAAGACCGAACCCAAGCAGCCCATTTCCAGTATAAATTGTAGAACGATACTTTGACTAAACAAAAGAGGGAATATTGGCAGCCGAGACTGGACTGCATGCCTTCAAAGTAGTAACTAACCTAAAAAAATCAAGAGGACCTATTACCATAACCAAGTTGTCTGAAATGCATAAGGCCCGATAATTGCGAAATCGAAGATCTTGGGAAGGTACTGCGGATCAATTTGTGAAGAAACAATCACTAACCCCCATCCATTTTCTTCTCTTCAACAACTGTCAGCTAAACATTAACCAAAGAGCTTCTCTAAAAATGCTAGAAAGTTTCAGGCTTTCAGCTAGACGATTCATTATTATCTCCTTGCTGATGTGTTTTCAATAACTCAGTGACCACAAACCAGCATTACCACACACCAATACCAAAAGTTCTTTCATATCCAAGACAGGGGAAAGCAAACTAACAAAGCACACAAATAACCAGACATTTCATAGTAGGAAAAGATGCAAGCTTTTTTTATTGTTTACCTTGTCAAACCCAGGATCACAACCATGAGAGCAGAAGGTTGAGGATAAGTAGGCCAAATCTTGCTTGAATCTAAATCCTAGTTTCAATATATCCGGAGAAATAAATACTTCTCTCAGCAATTCCCAAATGAAAGGCAGGGGAATCGACTCAAGGTCAAGGAGGAAAACCTCCACCCAGTCTTCCTTCTCCTCCAGCGAGTCAGAGCAAAGTTCAGGTCTGAGCTGACAAGCGAGTTGGAGGAGCGACACATTTGGGAAGGCGGATTGTTGAGTTTTGAGGGGCTTCCACTCGGCATCGAGACCGATTACAGAAGAACGGGCCAGGACCCAATTCAGGCGGGCGAATTCGGATGACTCGTTTGACGCGACAATGTGAGTTGCAGGGAGTCGGTTCTTGGGTTCCATTTCAATTGAAAAGCGATCAGTCTCTTCCATGTTCCCGCTCCAAAACGACTTCCAGGGTCACCGCTCGTGGAACTTGGTAGGGGTGGGCATTGGGTGGGTCGGGTGAATTTTGACCATAAAATGCACCCACCCGCGCTTAAACGGATTGATAATTTTTAACCCACCACCCACCCACATTTAGTCTCGGGTTGGGTCGGGCGGATGGTGGATGATGCGGGTGGATGATGCGGGTGGGTTTGTGGGTTCACCCACATCACAATGTATATAATATAAAGGAGTCAACTTGACATGATAATAGGTGAAGAGAATCATCGAGGGAAACCAAAAGTTGAAATAGGGCAAAAAAATGTCAAATTAGTTCTTAAATTGGATAGAAATTCTATTATGAAGAGTTTTCTACAGATTGAGACGATTATTAGGTGCAAGGAACTAAGGAAAATAATTTCACAAAGGAAAGAGCGGTGATCTAGGCACAATAATTAGAGGAAAAAGTAAAGGGAAGAAGAGGAGATCTCTATTTGGAAGGTTGGTTTTGAGGTTCAAACTTCAGGAGCAGTCCGAGTTTATATCTAACGTCTCCACTCTTCTCTCTCTAGCGCCAACGACTTTGATTTTTTTGTTGTTGGGTTGAGCGGGTCACCCGCGCACTCACCCACAACCCACCCACCACCCGGCGGATGGCTTCCAGCACAACCCGTCACCCACCCATAGACCCACCCACTTAACGAAATTCGGGTCAAATGCGGATGGGTCAGCCCAAACCCGCGGATGATCCGCCCGCATGCCCAGCCCTAGAACTTGGAAAGCTAACCCCTTGATTTTCTTGCCCTTCTCGTCGTTCGTCCAATTGAATACCTTTCAGTCTACTTATTAGAAGCGCAGCTCTCTTCAGCTCCTGGGTCAAGTCTCTTAATCATGCTCTCTCTCTCTCTCTTCTATGATTGTAAATCCCTTATCGTATTGAAGCTCCCCGGAGACAAATATTATCCCTTCTGTTAGCTCCATTGCATGCGGATAAATGAAACATAAAGCTCCATCGGTTTTGACTTTAGGGACTCAATGAATGAATAAGAGAACCATAATTATGAACTAACAGTCTAACACAACAGGAAAGAAGGAAGAAGCGACAGCGAAAGGGTAAGAGAGGTAAGCAAGCATAGAAATTTTTAAAAATAGGGTTGAAATTTTTAAAAATAGGGTTTACATGCCAAATTTACAAGATCACCATACAATTTCTCTGTTTTATAAGAAATGATCACATTACTTAGTAAAATGCGGTCGGGTTCTTTTTTGGATGAAATATACCGTTGGAGTTAGAGATGACAACATATTTGATGTGTCAGTTTTCCTATATACTATCCTAATTATGGTTTTAAAATTGTATCCATCCTCATAATCTAAAACATTTATTTATGAATGGGCAAAATTTTATTTCATCAAAAAAGTACATGCATTTACATTCAAACCCTACTTGAATTACCACAAAGCTATTTTCCAACTAATGGAAAGATAAATAGAAAATACATCAATAAAAACTACTCAGGAATCTTCCCAAAGTAACACCACAATGAAGCCATCTTACAAAGTTGAAAGAAACTAACTCAAGAGACAATAATAGGGTCTTATGCACTACTCCATGGGCAGCCATGTTTGTTGTTCGAGGAGGAGGAACCCCGTTGAATTCTATACAAATAGACATAGCGACAAAAAGCTGAAGACAATCACGAGGCACGAGCCCTCCTAAAAAAACCATCATAACTCCTTGGCAAAACTGCTAAATAACCACTTCATAATCACCTTTCACGATTACCCAAACAGAAACTTGAAGATAATAAGCGAAATGACATCTCTAGCGGCAAGCATAATCACCTTCCACTTCATAATCATTCATTCAGTCCTTCCAGCCATTTAGGGTGGTTGTTCATGGTACCCAAATCCTTAGCCTTCTCGGTACTGATTGCTTTATGAAAGCTTGGGGTAACACCAGCTGAGTGTTAATTGATATTCTCACATGTTGAAGAAGTCATTGGAATATACTAATACTCATTTATTTGGCTTGGGTTGGATTTTTACTCTATTGATTTGTGTTTCTACTCATACCCATAATCAAATTACAATTGATATCTAAACTTAATAGATCTTTAGATACTCTCGCAAGACTGGACGAAGATAAGCTTTGTATGTACGTTAGAGGATATGAGATAAGTCTGACGAAACCTAGAGCGAAAATACGCTTCCCTTAGCTACTTGACTAGTGAGCATTGCCAACTAGCAGGGAATATTTCCTTCATAACTTAACTTATTGAACATATACACAACTAAAAAAATGTGATAGCCACACTTTACATTGCGAACAAGTCCATTAGAAATATCATATTAGTGTTAAACTTGTAGATCATATGTTGAAATCTTAGTAGCACACAACTAAAAACCAAACTTATATTACACATAAAAACAATTATTCCTGCACTCTGGTGCACACTTGACAAAGTGGACAACAGTTTATGAGTTCATGCTGCCACTTCTGAATTTTGTCCAATGTATTGATTGGATCTAGGGCTGCAAATGAGCCGGTTTGTTCGCGGGCGGTTCGGCGTTCGACTCGAGAAAAACTCGTTCGAAACTCGGCTCGTTAATAAACGAGCCGAACATGAGCTAAGCTTTGTTCAACTCGTGAGCTAGCTCGACTCGATGGCTTGTTGAGCTAAACTCGTGAGCTGGCTCGTTTAGAGCTAATGATATGTCTCAACATGTGGCTAGAGAGCCAACTCGATTACCGACTTATGGACGAATCAATCTATATCTTCTGATTTTAATTCATATGGTTGTTAAATTATCTATCTCACCATATATAAAGTTTAACACGTTGAGTATGTGAGCAAATATATCTTATTTTTTACTTTAAAAAGAAATTATGTATCATAAATTGTTTCGATACTATGAAATAACATGATATTGAGTAGTTAAAAATTATTAACTAAATGATATATGATACCAACGAAGTATATATAATACTAGATTAACTAACAAAATAATACATATGTACCATGAAGTGCCAAATAAAAGTCAAAATTTTAGTAAACAAGCTGGTTCGAGCTCGACTCATTTATAAAAGAGTCGAGCTCAAACTGGGTAAAACTCGACCGGCTCGGCTCATTTGCAGCCCTATTTGGATCTAGCGAGACCAAACAGGTGATTACAGAGTTCCTGAGAATTGACACCTGCTTCCATAGAAGCTCATACCTGTTGTTCAGGATTTTCACACACTGAGACTTCTCAGTAATATAATAGTCCAAATATGCCTCACCGCAGATGCTTCATTCCATTCTTTAAACCTCAAACCTCTTTCATCCTTTGGCAGAGCTACCATTTTCCAACTCACCTTTGAGCAGAGCTTTTCAGCAAATACGATTAACCCTCACTTAATTTCAATCATACTGATTGATCATCTAGAAAACAAAGGGGATGAGAGCCTTGACATGAGGAGGGAAATCATCAAACTTAGAGAGGTACCACTCTCTTGTGGCTTTGCTCCTTCCCATCAGGTAGAGACTTGTCCCGACCGCGACGCAGAAGGAATAGAGCGTCTGTGAGATGAGCGCGATACCGTAGAAAACCAGAATCTCAAAAAGATAATGAGGGCAAATCACCAGCTCAAACATCCCACCCTTGGGGATCTTGTACTCTTTCTTCTTGCCGTCATCGCCGGACGATCTCAGCTTGGAGAGTAAGTAATGGTGATAGAAATTGCCTGCAATCCCGATGAGGAAGAGAACCACCCCGTAGAGCCTCAAATCCACGGCTGGCTCTGGGAGCAGGGCCTCCTGCGTCAAAATCTGGGTGTAGATTGTGAGCGCTGTAACGCTGAAGTAGCTTACACTTATCGGAATCGCTGTGCCTGCGGCCATGGTGCCACTGTACTTGTGTAGGAATAGAGTCTGCAATCAAGCAATTTCGACCACAAAACCATCAAAATTCCATTCGAAGAAAAGGGCTGGAGCTGGATTGAATTGGGACTGGGAGAAAGTACGTACCTCGAAAACCCTTTTGAAGAAATGTACGGCGAGGGCGGATTCGACCAGGAAGATCCTAGAAGACGAAGCTCCGTCACCGCCATGGTGGAGGAGGAGCAGGGATGACAAGGCGGCGAGGAATGCCGGAGTGTAGGCCACAAGCATCCCGGTTCTGCTGGGGAGGGAGGACCAGGACGGCGACGGCGAGGTAGAAGCGGATGGTTGGGCGGCGAACTTGGAATACTTCATGTGGTTGCCTCGGAGCTCCGACAAGCCGGCGTTTCCCAGGGAGACTACACCCACCACCGACATCGCCGAGACCAACAGTGACGGCGGCGGTTGGAATATTACCCCTCTCACCAAACTCATCACTCCCTCCATTTCTTCTATCCCAATTCCGGTTTCGATTTTCTTCTCAACTTGGAAACCACGGCACTACTCCTCGATCTGCTTCTCCTCTTCTCTTCTGTTTCTTATTTTCTCAGTTCTTCCTGTTCTTCAGGGGATTTGTTTTTGGGCCATTTGTTTATGCAGCACCAAGGGACTATTTAAGGGAGTATTTTGTTCTTCTATTACTATGTTAGGTTAATACAAATTTGTGTTTTGGTACAATCAAGTGTCACATTGGAAATACAAAAGGGGAAAAAATTATTTATCATATGAGAACTTATCTAGCTCCATTAGTTTAGGATTTCTTGGAAAAGTATTCGTGAAAAAAATCTGCAATATAGACGTTGATATGACGTGAATCAGATTATTTTCTATCGACGGAAAGTCACGGGTGTCTCTGTTCTGTGTTTATAAACGTTTCTGTTATGGGTCTGGTCAGTAAGCTTATTCAACAGAGAGAAAAAAAATTACGCTCTCTCACCCGTGAAATATTAACACAAGCTGTGTTAGCTAATAGCAAACCACGTACGTCTGGGGGTTCTTTATTTTCTTGCTATCATTGTCTTTCTTGTATTGTCAATTATATCGATCCATCGTTGACACGAGATCTGTGGTGAACAATATATACTATTAATGTGTACAATACATGTATGTGTGTGAAAGTGAAATGAGCTATGGGTCGAGTTGGAGTTTCCGTTACCACATAATTTTCGCTCCCTTGCCGTGTAGTTGGAAACAACAAGCAGATGCAATAATACAGACGGAAAGGACCACACGTATGACCAGTCGAAAGAAAGTAACCCGTTTACACTTCTCTCATTTGTGCGGCACGGAATCGTGTACGTGTACTTGTACCAAAATCACATATGAATCAATTATAATTTGATTCTAAATCTTGATCACATGAATTTTATAAATACTAAAAAAATTTTATCGTATTGACATTTAAACCGTAACAAAGTGTATTGCATTGTTGGTCCGATCCTTACCCTAAAATGTCTTTTACTACTGAGAAAAGAAAGTGAAAACCCGCCTGTAGGCCTCTCTCCTTGTATATCATTCATTCGTGAAGATAAAATCATCCAACGACAAAGAAATATTAAAGATGGGGAAAGGAAGAAAGGAAAGTGGAGAAGAGAGCAGAGCAGAACATCCCAAATGGACAAGTAGAAGAAAAATGTCATACCTATACCCTCCTCTATACATTCCCCAAAATGAAGCCAAAAACAAAATGGAAGTAGTCGAAGAACACTGAAAGGGAAAACCCAAACACCCCTTTCATTATGTACTAAGAATACAATATGTAAAAACTAAACAAGAAGAGAGAGCAGCTTCAACGGTTCATATCTTTCCTTCTTCTTCATCCTCTTCTCCAACTCACCCAACAGAAGGGTGCAAGAGCGACCTCCAAAAATACCAGAGCCAGTAAGCCAGCCACCATCTCTTTCCTAGTGCTAAAGGCCCCTCTTTATCCAACTTTCTCATCTCATCTCCTCTCTCTCTCTCTCTCTCTCTCTCTCTCTCTCTCTCTCTCTGCTCTCCTACCAAAGAAGAATTACACATCTAACCAGCAACTACCATAACCACCACCAGAATCATTCCCACCAAAATTACTCTCATTTGGCTTCCACCCGAGTGTTTTTACCCTCTTTTCTTCCCTATTCTTCAATACACCATGAAACAACCTGGCCATCCCCATCACCATCATGGTTTCCTAATTATATATTTTTACAGGCTTCTCAAAGGTGTGACGGTTCTGCAAAATCAGTGCCACAATCTGTAAGTTAAGCTTTCACAGAACGAAAGGGTGCGGCCAAAGTGATTATGCCAAGAAAGCAGAAAATTCTTTTATTCGAGCTAAAAGGGATGAACAAGTCTGTTATGTAAAACGTTTTGTCAATGAGAAATGAAAATGATGAGATGGTAGAAAGAAAGTTGAGTTTGGAAAACAACTAACTTGAATATTGACTTTAAGGATAAATTCGTACCTCAAAAGAACAAAGTTGGAAATCAACTTTTTAATCATTTACAGGTTCTAGGGTGGGTAATATTTTTAAGGAATCGACGAGAAAGAATTATGTTGGTTTGAGAACGCAAACTCAACTTTTTTTAAGCTAAAAACAAACACACCCTAAGTAGGGAGGGATATTAGAATACCTAACAACTATACTTGACCATAATAGACATTACATTGCTCACCTGATTAGCTGCGTATGACCTTTTAGGAGCACTATCAGCATGCTCCAGTCCCAGATACTGCTCCCAAGCACCATATACGTCCCTTCTCTGCATTTATTAATAGAAAAAAAGGTGAAACAAGGTTACCATCAGTCCACCATTTACAAAATTACTGCTCGGTACATTATGCTTGTGAAAAATAACTAACCTGAAATCGACCCGACACCACATCAGAGTCCTGAAGGTACTCCGGTCGGCCCAGTGACAGAAAAGCAAACTTCCACTGCCATATAAAATCAACCCACAATATGTTACCACACGTGAGTAAGTAGCATTCCTCGGTATGTTGAACAGCATAACAAACTAATTTACATCGAGGTCATAACCAATCTTGTCCCATATATTTTTGCTCTCCTTCACATACCTTTGAAAACTCATCATCAGGGACCTGCAATTTTTGCTGTATGCGAACTTTTACTTCAGCTAGAGTCTCCCCCTCACGAATGACAAGGAAAAATGGTTCCCCGAAGTTTTGAACTTGCTATGATATCATAAGGAAAATTCACATTAGAGATTACCAGTAGAAAAGCAAGGTAAATGCATTGTGATTCTGCCAAGTCAAGAAACAAGAGCCAGGGGGTAGTACTTAATCTCAGAGAAAAAAGAAAACAGTCGATACATTACAGATTCAGGAATACACCAATTACCTGGTTTTGAGCCGTGTCCTTCATGAAATGGTACACATGAATCAAGCGGTCTTGAGGACCAATCTGTTTCTCCTCTTCGGGAATCTGATGCATTAGTCATACATCATTACCGCAAAGATAGCCATAACAGAAAGACAGTAGAAGGAATTGCTATTATCAAACAGGAAACGAATCATAGATCTTGGTAGGCAGATTCAATTCCCAGTGCAGACAGGCAGAATACTAATCCTCAACCAAGTTTCTAGTGAACAATGCCTTGACAATCAAATTAAACTGCAAAGTACTTAAACCAAACTAATCCTCCATTCTCATTATACAGCAAACGTTGATATAATTATCCTCCGAATATATACAGCAATCATAACTACCGGAATGAAAAAGAGAAAACAGATGGCAATCAATAACCACAAACAGTATTCAGAGACCATTTTAGGTCCTTGTCTCTTCAAAAGGCCCCATCAAGAACACCATAGCAAACAAAAAGAATCATGATAGGTTGGATGCTAGTATGCTACAACCCAGTTTGATTCCAAATATCCTGCCATACCCAGAAAGGTTTATATACCTCCAGTTGCTCCACAGTAATACCGAGCTGTTCTCGCCAAAGTTATCCCAAGACATTTAAGAGACTCATAATCCTCAAATATATAAGAATTATGTGCTTCGAGCAGCACCACCAAACAGATTCTAACAAGAATCGCCTTCTTCCATAACAAGTTTCCCAGTCAGGAAAACGTTGCCTAATCTCTGTTTTGTATTGGGGAATACTAAACTACATATTGGAACCTGTGTGGCTCTGCTCCTATATATATCTGGTTGTTTCCTTCAAATCAAAGCTGAAACTCAGCTTGGTTGACCACAGGAGAACTGTAGCTACCTAGCTTGTTTCCACTATCGATCTGAGTCAGAGGTTCTGAGTCAGTCATTTCTCCAACTGCACAAACCAGCTTAGGATAGTGAAAGCAATTGTCTAGGTTTTACAGCTTTCTTCCGTAGTGCAGAAGAAAAAAATCGACTTGATTCTTGGAAAGGAATCTTAATTGTATATTGAAGAAATATTTTTAAAATGAGATTAGCAAGTAACTTAAGATTAGCACACTAGGAAGTTCCATTCATAAGCCAGTTTGACATATTTTAAGCCTAAATGGATTCACGCCAAGTATTTGATCATGAGCACAAGAGCATGCAAGCACCCACAAACAAAGAGAACAAGATATACCTCCTCTGCACGGAGCGTCCAGTATTGGTCATTGATATTTTCGATTTTCTCACTGGGTGGAAAGATCTGGAAATGCAGAATGGTTTATTAAATTCATCGAAGTCTATATATTGTAGATGATCAAGGTAAAAGACATGATAAACAAAACAAAACAAACACAGATTTCCAATGGCCTAATTACCCCATGGAGTAAAAGTGTGGCATCCAAAACAACAGCAAATAAGAAACACCTATATAAAAGGCAAATGAGAAAACATTGGTACCTTGTAGATCTTGTGGTAGAACACCTCAAGCAATCTAAGTTCAGCATTGGGGTGAGACAATTCAACCTACACAGATTCGAGGAACACCAGATCGTTATGCTCAGTCATTCCCTACTACCTCAAAGCCCCAGAATGTAGCGAGAAGGAACCAAAGAAACATTTCTGGCAAAGTTGATACCTTTGTCTTGAGGTCATTGATGACATCACCTACCGTACTCTGCTTTGGCAGTCTAATGGTATGAATTACAACCTGAGGTGGAAGAAATTCTAAAAAATCAACCCACTATAATACAAATCACAGACCCAAACACAGAGCAAAATGGAAACTTTAAGACCTCTTCCTTGGTTGCATGATGAAAGGCAACTTTCAAAGTTTTCAGACCTTGCAGCTCTGGAAGAGGGATATCAAGCACTTCATAGTATAGAATGTCGGATGTCTGAAAGGGAAAACCTCATTTCAGTAACAGAGCATAAATACAAAGGAGTATCAGATCAGAAACTTAACTGTTGAATATGAGGATACCTGGTTGTAATGGACCAGCATATCAGACAAATGATCTACTCCTCGGTACTTTATGGGTTGAGGTTTAGGTTGCTGTGAATAACAATTATGAGAGGTAAGCCTTATTTTGGAAGGGTCATCCAAACCAAGATGATGGGCTACTCTTTCAACCACATCATCATAAGTGTGATTCTTTGACCTGAAAAGTATAAATAGCAAAGGCAGATTATATAAAATGTACGAAGTTTGATCAAATAGTTCACATCACAGAATTCACTCACAGTTCCAACGAGAATTCGTCTTCTTTCGGTTTCTCCAATGATCGAAAACGTACCACCTGGATATACGATATACCCCAACATGTAAATCTACAATACTATGGGATATTTGAAGTTCACATAGCATCTCACAAGTAGATAGGTATCCCTACTCTACAAGCATGCACTTTAGTTCATCAGACATTCCTGAACAAGAGAAAAATACCAATTAACAGGTCCTATAGAAGACTGATGCACCTAAGCCCTGCAGAAATGACGGCTTGAGGCAGCAGCAAATTCTAGCAGGGAAGAGCTCCAGAGCAATTAACTGAATAAAATCTGATCCCCTACAGGGATTCACAGAATATTGAAAATCTAAAACTAAAACCAACCAATAAAGTTTCAGTTCTATCCAGTGTAAAACCAACTGAAAGATAAGGATAAACAGGTGGGAAATGAAAAACAATTTAACTTTCAAAGGAAAAACTAGTAAAATCATTAGATGAAGTAAAACTGGATGTTCTAGAACAGTGTGTGTCAAAGGATCAGCATACCTGTCGATTATGCACATATTCAAGAAAAGAAGGCACATCCGGGTAGCGGCACTGTTCCCCGCTTCCAAGAGGGGGCTTCTGAAAGCAGACAATGTCCCCGTCTTCTAGCTGGACAGAGAGCAAATAGAAATAAAAACGAAAGAAAATAGATATATGGAGACTCTGGCAAATAAAAAATAAGCAAAAGAGCACCAACTTGCATACCTGGCTAGAGCGAAATGCTATCTTCTTGTCAATGGGTTCACACATAACTTGAGGTTCAAACTTTATTTCCTATACACAACACCAGCAAGGTAAATACTACAGCTAAGCAGTAGAAGTAGATGATTATCATTCAGCAAAATTTTGACTAACCTCATAAAGTTCAATCTCTTGGTCAGGAGCATAGCCTGCCATTTCACTTAGCTTTGTCAAGATCTCCATGGGCTTACTACTTCCCTTTACAAACAGCCTCCCAATGTACCTGAATCAGAAAGACCTGAACATAAGAAGCCATATCATAATACTATTTACAGAAGATAATCGAAAATGAAAGTACCTCAGTTCTTCTTTCAGTGGGTCGTAAAGTTTAAAGAACAGCAGAATATCCTCCTTTGTTCTATCGAGAGGAGCAATAGGTCGCAGATCCTAGATTACAACAAATAACTAAGATCATTATAATCTTACGTAACTCAACAGAGAAAATATGATCAGAAAGAAAAAATAATGCGCCAGATAACAATACCGGTCCAAGTTCCACTTCCAGAAACAATTTTAGCTCTGCATTATTTGCTTTGTTAGATACTTCCCTCAATTGCCCAACCTACAAGTCATTCCTATTAGGAAAACACTACAACCGCAAAAACTTGCTGAAAAACACGCAAAGCACAGTGATATCACATGGTTCATACTGAGATATTTTACTCAAAAAAGTTCATTCAATATCTGCTTACAGACTGTGATTCTTCTTGGGGTGTTAATGGCCGATTTGGACGGTATGTATGGTTCTGTCTCTTTGCCCACAGCCAGAAACGTTGAAATTGAATTGGTACACCAAACTCTTTTGCAACTTCTTCCTACATAATAAAATCAACAATCACCAAGTCAATCACACAGTTATGACCACAAATTAAAAGATAATAGTTCCGTGAAATAGACATGCAAACTAACTAACCATAACAATCTACTTAAGATTGTGGTGATTTTTTCTATCATTAATTAAATGCAGGCACACGTGATGGAGATGCACATAAACAGGGAATAAACAACAACAAAAGTCGCAAACCTTGAGAACACAAGTCACTGTCAGTACTCAATAGAGTGGTAGAACAAGATGTAGTCGCTATTAAAAAGAATAGATGGCAAGGACAGAAGACAAAAGAGGAATTTACAGATTCCTCGAATTGAACGGCAACACTTTTTATCTACCCCACAGATATGAACGTACTATTCAATCAGAAAGAAGCAGGAGATAATTCAGTCAAAAACACTCTGGGATATAACTAGCTTCGACCCTGTCTCAGGTAGGCAGGAGAATTCAACACGTAACCTGAATTTTTTCAGTTATACTCCTGTCTCCCGGGTTACTAATGCATCATATAAAAGAATATACAAACACATTTTAGATGCAAGTACACGCAAGTTAAGAGATTACGACAGCACCTTGAAAAGGGTAAAGGGCATCTGCTTCTGGATGCGAAAACTGCGAACTTTGTCATGATCCACAAGATCAAAATAAATATCCTTCCCAATTTGTTCAAGAAGATCCTCACTCCTTGCAACCTATGAAAAGAAAAGAACAACTCAAGAAAAAAGTCATATATTGGCCAGTGCTTTAAAGAAAAAAACTTAATTTACAAGAAAACAGAGGAAGGCATGCAAGCTTGCAGGTCAGTGCAGCAATGCTTGCAGAAAGTGAAAGCAGAAAACCTTTATGATAGTATACAAATGGGCCTCGGATTTTTCCTTTCTCTTTTGCTCCTTTTCTTCTTGTTCTTTCTTCAACCTTATCTGAATCACAATAAATAGACGTCATATACAAAGACATACAAAGTACAGCAAAATGACTTCTGAGGATTGATTGCAAAAATTTACAGCCTTACCCTCAGGTGTTCTGCAATGTCCTTCTCATCCACGTTACAGATTATCTTTTCCTTGTCACTTTCGCGTATATACACAAGCATATAAGCATTTGAATATTTTGTGAACTTAAAAGGAGAATTGTTGAAGCCAGGATTTGTCTGCGGTAACTGTTGCACAGAAAGCCAGCAAAATGACTGGCTATCCAAAGCAAACGGAAAACGGAAAACAAAATAAAGTGAAAACGATAACTATAGCATATAGGTCTGACCTCTTCCTCACCGCCATACTGCTCCTCTAATGCTCTTTTTATATCCTCCTTGGTTACCCGCTCATCATCAAACTTAAACCTGCACGCCCAGAAAATTTATCATGTTGACAGTCTGTTGGGGAGTTCGAAGCATCTCTGAACTCCCTTTTTTTCCTGAAAATCTTATAGAAAAATACCCACAATATACGACACACCAGAAGACAATGTAGTGATGAAGCACACTGCATAAACTTCCTAATGTACTGGTAGCAGAGAAAGAGAAAGATTCAGCCCAGTCAAAGAAACTGCACATTATGGCCTCAGTCCAAAACCACAGCTCCGCTTTAATGAGAGCAGGAAACAACTACATTTAAAGTGCCCCTCTGGTTAAAGTTGAAACTAAAGAAGGCACTCCATAGGTGCCTCTAGTTTGTATATTGCAGAAGAGAATAATGATAGATACTAAGATAAGATCTGCAATGCAGATGGAGAATATCCAAAACCAATTGCAGAGTATTAGGAACAAGGGGGTGAGCTCGTAGTGATTGGTGAAAACACACAAAAACCAATTGTAAGTGTTTATATTTATTGATATAACTAAACAATTCAATAAATCAGCAATTCTATACCATTGATCAGAAAGCGTTGGTCTGATATAAGCATAATAGTGTCCACCATGCACACCACCACTGTGAACCAATACACTACAGAGAGAAAATATAAGAAGATTGATTAGAAACAGTAAACCATATGCCAAGAAATTAATCTGTATATGGAAATTTACAAACTAAACAGTTATTTAAGAAAGACCAAAATCACGGACCAACCACTGTGAAAATAAGATGCTCAAATTCTCACGCCTACTGGAATTGACTGCATTCTAGAAGAAAAGAACGCCCGTAAAACAAACACACAAATGTAGACAACAGAGCATGCCTAGTAGTAAAAAGAATTCAGTGTCTCCCCTTAGACTATGACTTCACGGGGAAAATGTAAACCAGAGTATATTTTGCTTTTACGTGCTAGAGGTGGATACAAGATAGCCAAGCAACAAAAAAATTTATTGAATGTGCTAACCGCAAATCAAAAGATACCCCAACCAAGCAACACAACTGAAGGATCTATTAACCTACATACTAAAAGAAAAAACACATTACAACAAGACATATAACCAATGAGGATTTAAAAGTTGTAGTATATATGGATATGAATTAGCAACCGTGGCATATAGCCATGGGTGACACAGCTAATGGTTTATTTTGAAGCAAGTGTCCACCCAACTGCCAGGGCTATATTTGAAACGTATGGACATACCCACAATTTATTTCCCGCTCCAAATACAACCCTCCCCAAGAAAAAGAAAAATCATTCGCTAACTTCTTTTGTTTACAATGACTGACCACGAATCATGAATACTTGAAAGTTCATGCAGTGCAGTCTCATATAGTGACTTGTCACTAGTGGATGATTAAAAGCCACCATAAAGTGTGAATGGGAAACATGGAAACAGCTCAAACCTGTGCAGAGTATAAAGGTTCCGGACGCTTCGGTCCGCATCTGGCGATAAATATTTTCCATTTTCTCTATCAAGATCAAGTTGCAAAGGGAACTCATAACGATCATTTATCTGCAGCACATTAAGACTTACATTAGCGTCAACCACAGTTTTACCCAATAAGACACGAGAACAAGGATGTGAAAACAATAGCTGCACAAAACTATCCACAGCTCACCTTCACCATCGTATCTCGCATAAAATCATACTCAAATCTTTTCAACTGAAGTTGGAGAACAGGAGGAAAGTCAATAAACAGGACTCCCTTCTTGGCATCCTGCAACGATTTAGGGTAAACAAAGAAACCAAGAAATAAACTCAATCACAGAGATTAAGGAATTACTTCCCAAAAAAAAAATTATTTACTTCCAAGCAAAACAACAAGAAATGAATTTGGAAATGAAATAATATGTTATAAGGTTTTTATTGGTTCCAAATGGGCTGTTAGGTTTTGCAGTACTGGTATTACTCAGTTCACATTAAACAGATAACTTGCTAATCCAAGCTTTATAAGAATTCCCGACTTTTATGGTCCAGATGTTCCTTTCACCACAACTGCTTTAGTTCAAACCACCAATTCCTCAAACCCAGTTTTGAGCTTAAAAAGTAAGACCAGCTGACACTTGCCAGTAAGGCAGCAGCACTTCGTAATCATATATATCCTATGTTTAAGGCATCATGCATATGTTCTTACTTTACTGGAACCAGCGGTCAAATAGTACTGGACCAGCCATCCTAGTGTGAAACTATTGTGCTAAAAGCTGCTGTAGGCATAGTAGATGTTTTTATGGATTCAAGCCTAACCATCAGCAATATAATCATCTCAGAGTATCAAATTTTAAGTCAAAATTTTCAATATGTAAGTTTTTGAAACACCAAAAATTATCAGACGAACTCAAATTAACCCTCCAGCAGAACCATTCTTTGATTAGCCATAGAAGGACTCTTCTCCAACTTGCATCTAATGACATTCGATTTCCATATGCTCTCTTTCCTAAAGGTCAGTCACTCTCAAAACACTAAGGGGCTGGTTTCAAAGTCATTTCTAATCAGCAAGAATGCTGGACGAAGAATCTTGAGGAAACAGCCAGCTGAACAGTGGATGACACTCACCCACCATGGGAGAATGGGGATCAGACGGTGTATAATCGATAGTCTGACATCTTAGATTCCAATAGAGGATCCCACAAACTAAGAAAATCACAACTAAAGCACGCACATAAAGTTAAAATCTTTTAACTAAGCTCTTCTCACAAAATCCATACTAAAGCTCTTATGAAGAAGTTTCCCATACGCATCTTACCTGCAGGCCATGTTGTTCGGCATGATATTTATTATCACCTTCAAGACTCTCCACTTCAACGTACTTGTCAAAAGATGCATATACATCTCGACAACCTTTGACATCAAGCTGAAGATCTGAAGTTACACGGAAGTAATCAAATGATTTAGCATGGGACAAGTCTACTAATAATGAGTTCAAAATATCAGGATTTTTACCATAAAATGATTCCTTCCTAGTGGACTTGTAATCCACATTGATGCATTCTATATAATTCATATGGTGCCCTTCAAACAACTGTTGTATTGTTCCCTCTACAACAGTTCCCTGAACAAAAAAAAAAAAAAACAAAGACTAGGTCTGTTAACATTCCAGTGAGACAACAATGAGCATGACGAGCCAAAAGCTTTTCATTCCCCTCGTCATACCTTCATTTTATCTTCAAGCTTTTCACTAAGGACCCTATTAAGTTCTTGCACATCATGCTGCATGAAAGAATCGTAAGTGTCCCACCCGAAAGATTTCGTCAGCTCTTTTGTTGCTACACTTGTGTCACTGTACTGAAGTTTATAAAACAAACTCTGCAGAGCGAGAGGGATGCTTCCTGATGGCATGTCATTCTCAGTCGTGGGCATGTGATACACAGCCTGAAATTACATTCCAGCCATAAGGCTTTGATATATTTCATATTTATTCATAGCGAAAATAAGCAAGTTTCACATGTTCAGAAACTGAAGGTATAAACAAACCTTTCTGAAGTAAGGAATATGGTAGAGTGTCTGAAGAAGAGAATTCATGTAGCATGTGGCTCCTTGGTTCTTAAGTCCAACATAGCCAGTCTCCTTTTTAGAATCATGGGACCAATAATCCATAATTTTACGGACAGCGACATCTGCCTCTACTATGCATGTATCATTAACAAGATAACCTCTGCCAGGGTCATATAACTCCCCAAGGGGCATGAATGAAGTAAATCCCCAGTCACTCTCACGTGCATTGAACTGGTGTTGTGTCTCTGCAGGAATAAAAGTTTCCAAAGTTTCAGTTTATATAACAACCAATGGTAATATTCAAAAATCATGTTTTCAAACTAAGTATTTTTCCACCCATCATTTTATCTCACACCAAAGGACCAGCATATCATTGAAGTATTGTAACTATATACAAGACACCATCAATGAGGAATAGTGCTCTGGATAGGGAGAGGAAAGGGTAAGGCAACAGATCTTTATGCGAAAAGGAAGCAGGGTAAGCAGAGAATCACAGATGCGACATAGGACATGGTCTTACCTACAAACTACTTTTTCCTGACTCAAAATTTAATATGAGAAATAAGCAGGCGATAGGGTAGATGAAGGAATGGGTTCATGTTGCAGAAGGTAGACACTTACCATACATATGTATATATACATATGCAAATATGTCTTTGCCATAAGAAAAAGACACAAACACACTCTACATAACAAATCTCTAATAAAATAATGTTTCTGTTATAACAAACCACTTTAGCATTAGAAAGAACCAATAGCTGGTTTTCTGAAAACATCCTCTGAAGAACAATCAGACGGATTGCTGACATCAAATACTGTTGTCCTTCTCATCAGAAATGAAAAATGTGCATCTCAATCATCCAAGAACCCTTTTATGATTTTCCACATGCCTGTGTGCCTTGATACTGAGCCAAATATCTATTATAAAATTTTACTTCTATCTCGTTCAAACTTGTTTGACCAAGACTTGTCAACAAGTGTCATAATCACAATATTTAAGAACAGCCCTAAAATGGATAGAAAATGGTTTACATCAATGAGCTGCTCTCGTATAAGTTCACGGTCTTTCCCACATCAACATTCCTTGAAACTGAAGTTAACTTCAACACACGTAACTGTCGACAGCTTGAGAGGCTCTAGTGCTTGTAAGAATACCTCCACTCTTTTAGTATCCCCCACTAAAAACCAATAGACGACTTCATCCACCAAGTTAATTTCAGAAAATAACTCTGCATTGCCACATAACCAAGCATATGCTATCACCAAGAGAACTTTATGTCTAGGACAAACCTCCATCACCGAAAACTCCAGGCCCTCAAGCAATCTAATCTAATTCAAGAAATATAAACCTTTGCATCAACATCCACCAGCTAGAAGGATAGACCATTTAACACTCATCTGCAAACCTCAGAAACGCTCCACATATATTGCAACACGGGAGAAAAAAGGAAGTCAAAACAGAGACTAATCCCACATTACTTCTCTCTACCATCCCGCAAAAGCAATCCACCTTGAAAGTATCCATGGCTTCCATCTGGTTTGTATGCAACAAAGACTAGAGACATCAGAAGCTGCTGTCTTTCAAGTATAACTTTACGTTGCACTAGCTCTAAGTCACACAGCATCTACTTTCCTAAACCATACACTCTATTTTAAGGTAGTTCAACAATGAGACAGATTCCAGACATGCGTACTAGGAAGGAACCAGGCGCACTAATATCATCGAATGAGACAAGAACTAAAGCTCAAGACAAAAATTAAAAGTATTCAAGACAATACATGGTCACCGCCAAAATGAATGGATGGACAGCTACCTTTCCGAACGGAGCCCTTTTGGTGAATTTGATTTACAACAGTCAGGCTGAACTGGGCATAACGACTCCAGCCATATGGCAGAGTTCCGGAGTCTGCAACATCTAGGTACATGGACAGATGATCCACATTGTTACCCTTGGGAAAAATCAGTATTCTCCTACATAAGCAATTTAGTTCATAAGGCTAGAGAGCAAAAAACATATAAACAACAAGCGGAAAGATTATGTAAAGCCAACAAATAAAAGAGGGTTTGGCGTACCATTTATAACCTCCAACAACAAAAACATCGGAATAGAACTTCTTGGTGTTGAGCCTCGAAAAGTTGTCAATTGTCCAGGTAAACCTTGCTGATGGTGGATCATCAACTGACTGAGCATCAGCTGTAGTTGCTGGTTCAGCTGGCGCTACTGAGGATGGTGAAGAGAAATTAAAAAAAAAAAATTGAATGAGATATGGCATTGATTTTTTGGAGCAGGGAGACAAAAGCACCGAGGAAGTAAATGCTCCTGCATGCTTTGTACAAGCTAACTTAACTGATGAAATTCTAATTTCGTTCAACCAGTTAGGTGCAATGCAAATGTGCATACTCTCCCCAAGCAAATAATGGCTGAAACACTCACTAAAATCACTACTCGTTACATCAGTTATTTCGTAGCAAAGCTAGACTGTCCCAAACTAATAATAAACATTAAAAATTTAGGATCTTCCTTAATAAAGAGGCAGCAGAAAACAAAATCATTCCTCCAACACAAGCTCTCCACAAAGCCATCAGAAAATAAAACGGCACTACCCAACATTATCCCCATAAACCCCGTATCCGAACCAGTTTGACCACCTGAGATCTCAAAACTCTGAATCCAATAGCAAAGTTAGTAAGGAAGAAGTAAAGGATGGCAGAACACGGAAATCACAGCAATCAAACACAACAGTCGCAGCTCAACTGACTCTATACAGAAAAGAGGTACGTAACAATCCCGGGACGCACCTTCCATGGGTTGAGGACCTTCCGTGACGTCGGTGTGGGGGACCAGCATCTCGTCGTCCTCTTGCTGCTACAAAAATTTTGACATTGAAGAGCAGAGTTAATACAAGAACACGGATCTGCCGATGGGAGAAAACCCTAGCAGCGAAGCCATTCGGTGCGACAGCGAAAGTGAGCGAATTCTGGTGATTGAAGTAACGAAAATCGGTCGAATGAAAGGCTAACCATTCCGAAATCTAAATTGGATTGAATTGGAACTAAACCAAAGCTAAATGCCAGAGAGAGAGAGAGACAGGGTAGGGAAAGTTGGAAGAGAAGACACCGGCAGTAAAGCATATTGAGAGAGGCGACAGTAGAAGGGAGGAGTTTCAGAGGTAGGAATTACATCCAACGGCGGAGGAGTCATCAGAGTCATAGCTGGCGAGGGGAAGGCGGCCGCCGATCGACGTAAGTAGAAGACGTGGACGCCACCGAGCGCGGGAGACAGAACCAGAAAGAGAGAGAGAGAGAGAGAAGAGAGCTCTGAAGCGAAGACGATGGATGTGAAGCGAGCCAAGAACCGAAAGTCGAAAACGAAGCGGAGACAGGGGCTTTGTTCGAGGAGGGACAGTTTGGGGATTTCGTTAGGGTAAGCTGGGGAGGGCTCACCTGGCCGGGAGAAATGGGCGAGACACGAAATACCGCAGTCTTGTAATTAACTGAAGATTTGCTCGTATTTACGGAACATGCCATTCGTCGAGCAACAAGCAAGAACTGGAAGAAAAGTCGCAAGTTTCTAGATTTTATACAAATAGTCTAATTTGGATTCCATTTAAAAAACAAAGTAAGTTTAGAATGAATGTTGAAATAAACACCTCTTTTTTTTGCCATAGTGAAATAAACACCATCTTGACTTCAGTACAATTTCCAAAATGTGAATCATAAATTAGTAGAATTTAAAATCACAAGTATTGAGGAATTTAGATTTATCTGTGTATTGTATATATTTGCACATCTAATTCGTTTATTTTATGAATTTAAATGATGAATTTGGGTCTCAAATTCAATTTAACGTGGACTTTGCAAAAAAACATTGTTTGCTAGAAATTTGTTGAGGGTAAAATTCGTGGAGTCCATGAAAATTGAAGGTGCAAACTAGTTCGTAGATTAAATTAACGATAGGATACATGGTTGAAGGAAAATAAAAAGTATGAGAACAAAAGTCGGAATAAATGATAGAATACACTCGAGTTTAGGCATAACTAGTTTTTAACATGGTAACAGAGTCTTTTGTGACATAAATGTTTTTTTGTTCGAATCCTGACAACACCCATTTGTTGAGCAGATGGTATTCCGACATGTGCAAATTTCAAACTCAAACATATAAGTATGCTTTTGTTCGAGGGGATCATGTTAGTAATAGCATAATAAGATCCTTTAATCAAACATATCTCAAGCATTCGAGTTATTGAGATTAACTAGTTCTTAACATGTGATCGGAACCTTATATATCTGAGAGGTTCTCTTCGAATTTTGATGACCCCCACTTGTTTACCACACGGTCTTTTAATGCATGTGCAAACTTCGACTCCTTCCAAATATTGTCTTTGAACGAATGACCTGAACAAACTCCTCGAAAGATTGTCTTCAAATTTTATTAAAGTTTATTTGTTCTCATCGCCAATTTCTCTCCTTCCGGAGGAATTATTACATCATCATTTCATCGAACGGCTCAATAAGTCCAGTCCTCGGGCAAGCACAACCCTAGGGGAAGCAGCTCATCAGGGAAGTAGTCGTCTTTCTTCTCCCTTGTATTAGACGTCTCGCCTCCATTCATAATCAAATGCTTCTTACCCACTCTGGCATCAACGACAATAGCCCGACAAATGGTTGATGTTGGTGACGGTGGTGGTATGGGAATGCGAGGAATGAAGACTCCAGTCCCTGCCTGTATCCTCTCTGGAGTCAGATTCTCGGCGTACCGGAAGCGCTGTCAAAGAAGAACAACATCGGTTTCACGATGAGTTTTCGTGTCTGCGTAGAATTGTAAATGATCTTCGCGTAAATGTTGGTAAATGGTGATATGATGGGGGAAATTTACCCAATGTTGGATCGGTAAAAAGGGACCAGACCGATGGTGAATGCCGCCGGAGAAGACAAAGCTACCGGTAGGGCGAGGTGGACGACATGTGTAATCTAGCATTGGTACTATTTTTCCACACAAGACCTATACAAAGGTTAGTACAAGAGTCACAATGTGTAAAACAGAGGGCTAATTAAGGGAAGTCACAAAGAATGATGAATGAAGAAGAAGGGGGGAGTATGTGACAATGTTGTAATGTTTTTTTCCTGGGTAAGGTGGACGACCCATATCGTAGATATTTATTTATTTTCTAATTCAATTATGTGTGTTTTATTTTGAATTGGGGTAGGTGAAAAGAGAACAACTCAAAGGAGTAAAAGAGCGTCACGTGGAAAAACATACCAGGGTTGAATGACAAGCGCGTGATGTATACAAACAAAACGCTTGAAAAGGAAGAGCAAGATTTATTATGGTAGAAGAGCGCTAGCATGCATTTCAACGATTATGTGTATCTGGGACATGGGAACGACAACAGGCAGGCCGCGAGCAAGACAGTGTTGGCAAATCTATGAATGGACATATCATTTATTTAGGGGGTCTGTACGTAGGGTTTCGTCGCCAAAATGAATATTCATGTCTTGTCCTACATGCGACTCGATAAACACTTAAACCAGCACATGTGAAACTAGAGCAAGGGTGAAGCATATCAAAACCAAATTTATCATCCCTAATTCAACTCTTGAAATCAATCTTGAAAAACTTGACATATTGACGCACTCTAAAATATAAGGCCCCTCGTACATCAACAAAACTAGAGGCGCGCGGATGAAAGGCTTGTTTTTCCTAATAAATATTTAACTCCCTACTTAGTTTTTCTTTCCGTTCCACTTTTCCGTTACGAAAACATATTTGACCGTCACATACGATGAAAACACATAAAAGGCAAAGGATTAAAAGTTGTTTCAACATCTAATACCAAGAAGAATTGGTATTCCATAAAAAGAAGAGAAGGGTAAACATTGACAAAATGATGGGTGATGAAACCTGGTCTTTTGGTGGAGTATTCCGACCATGAAGTCTCCCAATCACCGGAGTTTTCCAGACCTTAGAGGGAATCAAGGGATTCTTGAAAGTGGTGGATTTTGGCAGTGGCTTGGGGTGATTTGAGGATGGTGAAATTTCGACCATGACATCAGAAGGAATCATACACTCTGCTTCCTTCGAATCTATGGTGAAGTCTTCCATTAAGGACACTACCAAGCTGACCAGAAAGAGTGACACTGCTACCACCATGGATGAAACACAAACCAGTGAAGAACGATGAGGGACTGGGGGTTGGATGAGAAGGAACTGGAGAATAGCACTCCTTTTTATAGAGTTCTAGTAACTGGCCTGGATTCTCATTTACATGGTATGTATGATGTATGCATGTTTATTACTTCTCACAATTGTGATTTTTTGTTGTGGTATCATTGAATGCAGTTGGTTCAATGTACTCCTAGTTAAGCAAAAGATTTTTTGGGAAAAAAATTGATTAGCTTGCTAATATGATTGGTGGGTTGCGAGGAAAAAATGTGTTAGTGCGTGAATGGTGTGAGCGTGGGTTTTCTTTATGTCAAACGATGTGTCAAGAAACGTCACTCTTGTTCAAAATGAAGATCTTTGGGAAGCATTGCATGGAGAGTATAATTGAGTGTAGTGGAAAGGAAAATAGGTTGGTGTAGTCAAATCTTTGACTGCCGTAATAGCAAATACTTTTAAAAAGTGCATAAAACGTCTAAACGTATTTAGAATTTTGACAAATGTGATATTCCTCATTAAAATCTTGCTCTTTCTTTAATGCATTTGTTTAATGACATTATGATTTATGTAACGGTGCTTAATTTGAGTTGAGGTGGCCTAAACAACCTATCTCCATGGGATTCTCATTTTGGTCTCTTATTGTCAAGGGCACTAAGGCCATTGTCAAGTTAACAAGAGCCTTTTTTATATTGTCAAGAGAATAAGATATAGGAGTCACACGATTAGAGGCAATACGATATAGAAATCACAAAAATGACGCGTCTTTTTCTTTGTCGAGCTTCGAATCCTTGTGGCACAAGGATTAGAGGTAATAGAGGGTAGACCCAAGAAGGATTCATGTTCCTAATAGCCCAAACCCCCAAATGCAGGTAAACAAAATTGTAGATTTCGCTAAATTCACCTGTTGCTCACTCAATTCTTCATATACACGCATGAGACACATAAATGTCGTACATAATTGCCGAGAACCTCATAGAAACAAGTAGGAATCATATATTAAAATAAACAGCTGAGACACAAGTGATCTAAATATAGACGCATTTCAAAAAGGCCATAATAGAGACTGCTATATCATCCTAAAAAATCCTTCATTGCAGATGGCAAATCGAAGGGGAGAAAGAGGATCCCCTGGTGAATCCTTCAACGCATTTCTTAGCTCATAAATTTTTTTTAGTTCCCTGGTAAATTTGCATGACCACTCTCCTTCGCCTAAGAAGGGTTAATACTTAACAACATAGGCAATTGAATTCTTACCTCTAACCAGTCAATATCAACAACAGGTTGCCCCCATGAACAATTGAACCTAATGCCCATTTTAAAATTAAGTCCCACTAGGAAAAAAGACATTGCAATTGGAATCCATCTATCCTATCAGTACAGACCGTTATCGTAACTTGATCTTTCCGCCAGCCTGCTTGGTCTCAAGGCCAAACCCGAAGAGAAATAAAGGGTCGTAGTTCTTGTCCCCTTAGTTCACTGGAAGCTGATCAACCCTCTTGAACCAAGTCCTCGCCAACTTCCCAGTGAAGTCATAATCCCAAAACAACACATCACCAACTCCTTGACCTTCAGAGCCAGGAAGAAATGCTATCGCCAGAGCATCCATTACTGGCAGGAATGGCCCTAGCACCAGGTGCCGTCCTGAGATAAGAATCACGATACAATTGATCCCGCTGGCACACTGTTTCCTGATGATATCCTGGCTCGGATGAGAAATGGTCAGGTTCAGATTGTCACCTTTGGTGTCTGCATATGGCCTCTTCCCCACCACTGCAATGCAAAGTCTGCATCTTTGTTGGCCTTGAGGAACTCGGGGTTGGCTTTCTCATGGAACGCAAATTGTGTGCTTGGATCCACCGTCTTGTTAATCGCTGCAAGAATGGTAGTTCCAGCAGACAAACAATTATCTGAATGGTTGGATGTTGGGTTGCAAATCAATAGAGCAGAGAGTGATGATGGTGAATGCATCACCTGAAGTCCTGTCATTGCCAGAGTATCCCTGCCATTCAACAGTCCAGCCGCAGCATTGATATCCCAAATTGTTAGCATGGGATCTCACAACAATTATCTGAATGGCCTTCTTAGGTAGGGGCAAGATGGGTTGATTCTCCGCCTATCCCATTTTCAAGACCACAAGAGATTTCCTCACAGCTTCTCTGGTCAATTCTCAGTGCTCCTAAATTAGGACGTTTCAGTTCAGGAAACCTGTTAGAATAATGGTTCTGGCAGAACTCAATTACGAGAAATGT